ATCCTACCCCTGGGGTCATGATTTGGACAAACTTGAATCTACAGTACCTGAGGATGATTCCATATCAATATGACTAATTGTGGCTTTGTTGTTCTTTAGAAGAAGACTTTTAAAGATTCTTCCTATATATTCCTATGAAAAACTTTGATCCCCCATTGTGGCACTAACCTACATCCGGGGGTCATAATTTGAAGAAATTTGAATCTACACTATGTAATGAAGGTTTCACATAAGTTTCAACTTTTCTGGCCCAATGGTTCTTGAGAAAAAGATTTTTAAATGATGACACCAAATTTTCACCAATTCTCAATTATCTCCCCTTGGAAGAGGGCGTGGCCCTTCATTTGTACAGACTTGAACCTCCTTTACCCAAGGATGCTTTGTGGCAAATTTGGTTGAAATTGGCCTAGTGGTTCTGGAGAAGAAGTCGAAAATGTGAAAAGTTTACAGATGGACGGACAGCTAGACAGACGGGCTACAGACAAAATGTGATCAGAAAAGCTTACTTGAGCTTTCACCTCAGGTGAGCTAAAAAACTAGTGTTCCAAGTAACGCATCTGCTTTACAGCATCATTAAAGATAAAAAAAAATCAAACGGATATCACCTATTTATTTGCTACTATAGCGTTATAACAGAGAGAAAAAAAACACAAATAGCATGGAAAAAAAAACCCATTTATCATAAAAAATCTGACAGATAGAAATATCAGTACCCAACCCTCAAAGCAAAAGTGATTAAAAATGAAATTGAAATTTGAGAAATAATTATTTCATTTTATACAATCTAATTAAAGTTGCTCATTAGTGTAGGGAATACGGGAGCAGGTCTAATATTTAAGTAGATAGCATTTTATATATATATATATAATTATATATATATATATGTTTAATCCAGAGAGAGATGCCATTCTTTCTTCAGTCTACAATGATCATTTTGGTATTCGATCCAATCCCGATATTTTGAGAATATTCTAATTTCAGTTTGTGTGGTTATTGTATAGTATGCCAATTCAAAACACAGTGTCAATGCTATACATGCTAATTATCAAAAACGGCCTCTCAAAATCAAAAAGACAGAAGTTAAACAGCTGTTAAATCTACCGTCCGGAGTATTTTTGCAAAGTAGGTCAAAGGTCAAGTGAACTGTAATGGTTTTTTACAATGGTTTATGGAAACAGTGCACATGCTAAATAGTATAGACTTAAGCTCTAAAATGTCAAAGATATGCTGTATATGACACAATAAACTACTTATAATTTAAAACTCTAGATACTAATCCGATAGGTGGTACTAACCAATTGTTTTCACATGACCAGTCAAAAGCAAAAGCATCTACAAATGTACACCATAGGTATCTGGAACCCAAAATCCTGAATTGAATCTCTTGACTTTATTTTTATTGTCAGCAAATCTGTCGATTGTAAATGGACCCCATTTTTTATCGCACAATTGAAAAATATTTTCAGAGATAGACCAGTCATCATAATCAAAAATTTTACTGCTTGAACGTTTCCACTCCATTTCTAATGCAATACAATTTTTTATGCAAATTTCATAGATATATTTACAGCTAATTCGTGTAGATCATGCTTCCTGCTACCTACTTGAGAAATGTGAATGGCATTTTGATTATCACTGTAAATTTTAACAAGTTTGCCTGTTAAATGATTTTTTAAACTTTCTAAAATAAACTGTATTGATTTCAATTCTCTCCATGTGGAACTTTTCTTACATTCCTTCTCTGAAAACATGTTGTGTACAATCTCCAAAATGTCCCCTTGTATGAAGCCTGCGCTTGCATCAGAAAAAATTATTCGCTCTGGTGTTTTATTGATGGGACTAACAACCATATTTGGTAATAACTCACAGTTCTTTAACCAAAACTCTAATTCTGATCTAACATTATATGGAATCTTAAAATGCAAATCCCAAGTAATTCTCTGACAAACTGCCATGCATAAATGTCTTAACATCATCTGACACATGTTACCAAACGCTGGAATGAGTGAAATGATCGATCTCACCTAAAACTGAGGCTAAATTTCTTGCCGTTGTATTCTGCTGTAAAAGAATAGCTTTTATCTTATGTAGAATATTTTGAATCTTATTATTTGGTACCTGTATGACACCTTTCTGTAAATCCCAGGTAAATCCTAGCCAGTCTAACTTTTGTGTAGGATAAAACATTGACTTTTCATAATTAGGCAAAACCCGGCTTGTAAAAGAGTCAATAATACAGAATTAGAAATGTGATTACATTTTTCTTGTGGGGCGCATGCCCAGCCGTCATCTAAATACACTATGATAGGGAAACTTTGAGACCTCCAGTAGTTTACTAAAGTCCGTACAATTTTTGTAAAAATGTGACCAGCTGAAGAAAGACCAAACGGCAAAACTGTAAATACGTAATATTTTTGAATACCGTCTTTAAACCATGAAAACCCGATGATCAGGGTGGATGTTTATATGATGATAACCGGAGCGCAAATCGAACTTGATCATGTAATAACCTTTACTGTTTAGCTTCATTGACCTCCTCGAATTTGATTTTCTGTTTCAATACAAACTCGTTTACGTGTTTTAAATCTAGCACTAATCTTTGTTTTCTGGTCTCATGCACTGACTGAAACTATCAACGGATTTACAACATATGGAATATCTGTAACTTCTATTACACATCCATTGCAAACTAATTCATTTATAGCTTTTGCAACAAAATCAGCATTATCAAAAGCAGATCTGTTGTTTTTTAAAATTTTGGAAGAAGGCTCTTGAATGAAAGGTATTACATAACCATATTTAATTGTGCTTAACACTAGTTCTGAGGGGTTTAAATTTTTCTCCCAAAAATCAGAATGATTGGTCAATCTGTTTTTATAACATTTTCACTTTTAGCAAATTCGAACTTATCATGTGTATTATACTCAACTTGTTCAACTTGACTGCTGTGAACTGGAACCTGCGCTTGCGGCAGCTGCTTGTTTTCCACGAGGGAGAACTGGCTTGAACGAACAGATTCTTGCTGTGTGTCCGGGCCTTTTACAATAGAAGCAGAGTCCGTCGTTAAATTGCTGGGATGCTCCTTGGCAATGACAATGACAATGAATTTATTCTCATAAACTGACATTAAGTACAGTGTAGAGACAGATTACAAATATAGTTAAATATATGTGCATGCGTGAAACGGAAAAAGTACAAAGTCAGAAAGCTAACAATGACCTAACCAGGAGAGCCAACTCTCTCACAGATAATTTTTATAAATTTACACAGTTTTATCAACTTAACTGTATTTTTTGTATTAAAAAGTTGTTCAAACTTATACACATTTGGATATAGATAGTAATACTTTTGATAATAGTGATAGTCTTGATTTCAAAATAGATGGGTCATTACAATTAAATAAGTAATGATATTCATCACCAATTTCATTTTTTGAACATAACTTACAAATTCTATTTTCTCTTGGTACATTTTGCCATCTCCCAACTTCAATCGGTAATTTATTATTACAACATCTAAACCTACATAGTAATTTCCAGTACTTACAAGGCAAAGATACTAAATACTTTTCTAAACAAAATGAAGTTTTATATATTCTGTAATTAAAACCTTTAGATGAATTAAGCATTTCACTGTACCATGACTGTTTAAACTGACCATACAGAGTGTTAAAAACTACTTTCTTCAGCCAAGATACATTCACTGGTTGGCAAGTTTGCCAGATATATAAGAGCCCACATTCATTCAGTATAGATTTGATAAAGTTACACCATGGGTTATTGTAGTTCTTCAAAACAATTAGCAGATTTGATGATAATTTAATTTTATCACCTTGTAAAAAAGATAATGTGCACCAAAAACTTATCATTCTTACCTTAATATTAATTGAAATAGGGTATCTACCTAATTCACCGTATACCATAAAATTTGATGTAGATGATTTTACATTTAAAATATTTAAAAAAGGATGCCCCTTGGCTGAAGTTATCGTTGCGCTGTTGTGAATAGCTTTGGCTGAAGCCACGAAAAAAGGAACGTGCATTGAATCCACTCCTGTTGGATCCTCTTGTGTACGGCTTGTATTGGTTCCTCTTTCGAGATGCTCGTATAACTGCTGTTCGTAGCTTATTAGCGTCTTCACTATTATCAGCGAGAGGATCGTCAAGATACTCTTGTACGGTATCCCAACCATGTCTGTCAACAATCTTTAAAATCTTATTTCTTTGGTTTAACGTGTTTATCTCTGACTTGATTAGTTTTTCAATTTCTTGAGTTTTGCCTGTATGCACGAGCGATTCTATATTCTTTAATGTTATTATTCTTTCTGAATTAAAGACAAATTGAATTTTTGTTCCCTCTTGTTTAAACTCGAACTTCTTTGGCTGACAAGCATTTGAATCTTTCAATTCTGATTTTTCATTAAAGTTATATCTCACGCTAGTAGAAAGTCCCGGAGATTCTGGTTCGGCAGACTGAGTTTTGAGTATTTCTCCCAGAATATCTTCCTTCTGTTGTGCTAGTGCTTTAGCAAGTGATGTATTAAATAACGAAACAGCATCTGCTGTAGAAATATCTTGTTCTTCTTGCAGAATTTTATCGTCAAAATCCAGATCTTGTCCCTGTTCATCATTCATTTCGTGGAACTCGTGTATCACGTTTACCCGTAGGTTATAGCGAGACTCGATAATCGAACATGAATGAGTGAGGATTTATATAGTATGTGATCACGTGATAAGTATGGAATGCAACGAATTTAATTTTATTGAAGAGTAGGTCAAAGGTCAAGTTCAAATATCACAAATTTGATAACTATGGTAGTTTACAAAAGCCAAAGTGCCAAGCAATAAATGTGCAAAATATCACATCTGTATCTTTTACATTAAATTCTCAAGATACAGGGTGTGACAGATGGAGGACAGATGGAAATACAGAGTCCAGGTAGTGATCTGCTCTGCATGCGACACAAAAAGTATGAAAATATCAGTCTACCTAAGTACATGTATATGTAAATATTTATTTACAAAATGAATACATCAGGTGGTATCATTGAGAAAGAAAGCAACAAAATGCAACAAGAAGATTCTGTACCCTGAGATCTGATGCAAAAAGGTAACCAGATGCAAGAAAATGTTTTCGAACTAAATATGTACTGAATACACATATAAATTCAAACAGAAAGAGCTCTCGAAATACACTTACATTTTTAAAATGTTTTACAAGCCTCATCTACATGTAATTTATAAAATTTTCACATCAAAGTCACATTCAATCTTTCCACTGCCATCATAAGCTACAAGAATTTTCAAACTGCAGTCATATTAATTGTTTTCTTTTTAAACAGATTCCAACAGTCCTATGACAATTATCCAACTCTTTCTCATCTTTTGATTCACTGATCTGATCTTAAGATATTGTAATCTAATCAAAGAGTTTGCATATCTCTGGGAAAACAAACAGATTCAGTTTTTCCCTGTGGATCCAAATCCTCCTTCTCCCCGATCTGTGTCATCCAGCCTCTGTAAACATGAAATGTAAATTGTAAACATGAAATGTAAATTGTAAACATGAAATGTAAATTGTAAACTAAAATGTAAATTGTAAACATGAAATGTAAATTGCAAACATAAAATGTATGTGTAACTTGTAGCAAATTTCACATAAAATTTTAAATGTATAATGTAAACTCTGTTTTTGATATGATGAAAATTCTACATAATTATCCCTTTCATTTTCTGTTTAATAGGTCTGTATTTAAATTGTTTCAATCATAAAATGTTAAAGCTGAACATGACTTATAATTTGGCATTCACCATACAACGTATTGAAGTTTTCCCATCGCAAATGGACTTTTGCGAGAAGCGTTGACTTTTACAAACGACAACTTACTTTTACACTAGGGCATTACACGGAAGCTCTTTTGCGATATAAACATTAAGCTCAAGAGTTAATTAAACGATGATAAAGGACCATTTCAAAGCAAATATTACGTTGTCTAGGAAGGGATCGGCATCCACCCTACCCTCAACCCCCTCCATTCCCACTTTGACCAATTCTTGCTTAGTTTTTCTTCCGATATGTTTTTTTCTTCCTTATTTCATTCTTTCAGAAAAATTAGATTGAAAGGAGGTACTAACCTCACAAATAAGGTAATTTAAAGTATGCAATTCTGCCTCTCATCATCTCTTGCATTGATTGCATACCGGTAAATCATGTTAGTGCCCCTACCACCATACCTATAACTACTGTTCAGGTTTTCTTGTCTATTATCAATTCCGTGCCTCCGTACATAAGGCAGGTTTAAATGTCAAAGTAAGCCATCGACTGTAAAAGTCAGTGCTTCTCGTAAAAGTCCAATATCTGTACTGGGGTATACACTTTGCATTTGTTACACCTGATTGCTTTCTTGCCACAGACACTTGCATGAAATGGACGACAAGTGGCAATCTTGGGTATTTTACATTACCTTTGTTTACATTGTATTGCAGTTTACGTTTATTTGTGAATGTTTGTACTGCAAAGTGTACTGCAAAGTCTTGTGCATGTGGTAACTTTGTCTTCTGGAAGAAGCACACAGTAATTGCTTTTGTTGATACCGAGTATTTTACAATGGCTATGTAGGTCCAATGACATATGGGTTAAAACTGAAAAGCATATTTCACTGAATCGCGACCAAGTGAAGGGCTCCTATAGAGGCTCTAAAAGTGAAGGTAATTGAAGAGAAATATGGCGGACTGAAGATAAATCTATTTTTAAGAATCCCGTTCAGTTTTTTAGCAAAAGGTGTTATTAATGTGATGAAAATTATCGATGGTCCTTTTTTTTATGCTTAGGAAAATAAAACTTTGAATTTGTCGTCCACTTCAAAAATTCCTGGTTTACATACTTCACATTCCTGCAGGTCTGGGATGTAAATTCTCTCACAAATCAACTGGGCCATTCTGTCTCCTTTCTTAACTACAAAGGCATATGTAAATAAATGTAATGTTCAAAAACTTGTACAGTATTAAAATTTTTTTGGTGCATTCTACAACATAGATCAAGCAGAATGATTTAATCTTACTTATAGCAAGACTAAACCAAGCCAGTCTAGTAAATGAGTGGTCCGGTCATGTAAATTGTACATGAACTAGACTGAATGGTCCTGTTGAAAAAACAACTATTAAACCAGAATTTTAATCTTTCAAATAAATAATCTAAAAACTTTTATAGAATTTTTTTTTTATTTGTCCACTTGAAAACGGTTTTCGCTGTGTAAAAAAAAAAATAACCACATGACACGATCACTATTTTTAGCCACTGCTGTTATAGACAAGTCGCGGTCAAAACAACTGATGTTCAGTACAAAAAGTATCAATATGGTATATTAAATAGTTATGTATGCTTGTATAGTATAATTTTAAATCAGTTTATCAATATTTACAATAATTATTTTACTAAAATTTGTTGAATCTTTAAGGCTTATACAACTCGAATGTCCCGATGAACCCGACTCGATTGGCTGGGACCAATCGAACAGTCTGTCAAAAAAGTAAAATTTGCAAAAGACGATGTCTTTATTAAATATGGTTTCAAAAGTTACCTCATTAAAATTCTCAATTATAAGAAGAAAATTTGCAAGTTTGGTCAGACTAATGATTTTATGGTAAGGGCTAGTAAAAATTATGGAATGTAGCCCAACTGGTCTAGTACTTTTATAAATTAATGTCAAACTTTGTGCCTACTTTTAATTATGCACGATCATGCTTGTGTTTGATTCAAATTGATTTGAACAAACACTGTTGTTTTGACTGAAATTAAATATCTGGTAATACAAGAGGCCCACGGGCCTTATAGGTCACTGGAGTATCATGCAACAACTTCGCCACAATTCAATTGGATTCATGTTTTAAACCAGAGGCCATGAAATTCATAATTTCGAAAGAGGCACACCTGCTCATCATAATTTTACATTTAGTAAGCTTACTTAATACCCTGAAAAAGAGCAGAGGATTGTCAAAGAATTAATGCATTTTCACTATGTAATCATTAGAGCCCTGCCCTAACACCAGAACCATGACCCAGGAGCTATCAAATTCACAATTTTTGAAGAGTCATCCTTACATATCATAATAATATTATACTCTTAGTTCATCAGCTTAATATCCAGGAGAATAGAAGAAGATTTTCAAAGAATTACGGGTATTGCATTTTTACTATGAAATCATTAGAGCCCGCCCTAACACCAGAACCCCTGACCCAGGGGCCATGAAATTCATAATTTTGGAAGAGGCAACTTTACTTATCATAACTATGCATCAGTTTGTTTGCTAAATACCCAGGATCAAAGGAAAAGATTTTCAAAGAAATAATGCATTTTCACCATATATTCAACAGAGCCCTGCCCTTACACCAGAACCCCTGACCCAGGGGCCATGAATTTCACAATTTTGGAACAGGCACCCTTACATATCATAACTATACTCTTAGTTCATCGGCTTAATACCCAGGAGAAAAGAAGAAGATTGTCAAAGAATTATTGCATTTTTACTATGTTAGCATTAGAGCCCCGCCCTAAAACCAGAACCCCTGACCAGGGGCCATGAAATTCACAATATAGGAATAGGCACCCTTACTCATCATAACCATATGCATTCAGTTTGTTTGCCCTGGATCAGAGAAGATTTTTAAAAGAAATAATGCATTTTCACTATATATTCAACAGAACCCTGCCCTAACACCAGAACCCCTGACCCTGGAGCCATGAAATTTACAATTTTGGAAGAGGCACCTTTCATCATCATAACTATGCATTTATTTTGTTTTCATAATATCCAAGAGCACAGAAGAAGCTTTTTTAAAGAAATAATGCTTTCTCACTATATATTCAACAAAGCCCCCACCCTTACACCAGAACCCCTGACCCCTGGGCCATGAAATTCACAATTTTGGAAGAGGCACACTTTCTCATCATAACTATGTATTTAGATCATTGGCTCAATACCCAGGAGCAGAGGAGAAGATTTTTTAATAATTAATGCATTTTCACTATATAATTATCATTAGATCCCCGCCCTAACACCAGAACCCCTGACCCAGGGGCCATGAAATTCACAATTTTAGAAGAGACACCTTTCCTCATCATAACTAGCATATTGTTTGTTTCCTTAATACCCAAGAGCAGAGGAGAAGACTTTTTAAGAATAATGCATTTTCACTACATATTCAACAGAGCCCCACCCTAGCATCAGAACCCCTGACCCTGGGGCCATAAATTTCACAATTTAGGTAGATGGCTCAATGCTTATTACATTCATGCCAACAGTTTGCCTGCTGGGTGCACAGGAGTAAAGAAGAAGATTTTTAAAGATTGCATTAATTTTTCTGGTTTTAGCCCCATCCCTCAGGCCCCAGGGGTGTAGGGGTCATGAATTTCACAATTTTTACTCCCCTTTACATATAGATGCTATATGCCAAATTTGGTTGAAATTGGTTCAGTGGTTCCAGAGAAGAAGCTGAAAATGTTCAAATGTTAACACACGATGACGGACGAAAACAGATAGCAATAGGTCACCAGAGTAAACTCAGATGACCTAAAAAAACAAGAGGCCCATGGGCCACAACGCTCACCTGAGTAACTTTGGCCTTGCTGTTTTTCACATGACCCCCTCCCCCCTTGTAGTACTTATTGTGGCCCCGCCCTACCCCAGGGGTCATGATTTGAACAATTAGAACTTACACTACCCCAGGATGCTTCCACATAAGTTTTAGCCTTTCTGGCTCAGTGGTTCTTGAGAAGAAGATTTTTTCTGCATATTTCAATGTAAAACCTGGATTCCCTACTGTGGCCCTGCCCTACCCCCAGGGGTCATGATTTGAACAATTAGAATCTACACTACCCCAGGATGCTTCCACATAAGTTTTAGCCTTTCTGGCCCAGTGGTTCTTGAGGAGAAGATTTTTTCTGCATATTTCAATGTAAAACCTGGATTCCCTACTGTGGCCCTGCCCTACCCCCAGGGGTCATGATTTGAACAATTAGAATCTACACTACCCCAGGATGCTTCCACATAAGTTTTAGCCTTTCTGGCCCAGTGGTTCTTGAGAAGAAGATTTTTTCTGCATATTTCAATGTAAAACCTGGATTCCCTACTGTGGCCCTGCCCTACCCCCGGTGGGTCATGATTTGAACAATTTAGAATCTACACTATCCCATTATGCTTCCACATAAGTTTTAGCCTTTCTGGCCCAGTGGTTCTTGAGAGGAAGATTTTTTCTGCACATTTCAATGTAAAACTTGGATTCCCTATTGTGTCCCTGCCCTACCCCCGGGGGATCATGATTTAAACAATTTAGAATAAGTTTCAGCTTTTCTGGCCCAGTGGTTCTTGAGAAGATTTTTAAAGATTTTTACTACATATTTCAATGTAAAACTTGGATTCCCTATTGTGGTCCCGCCCTAAACCCGGGGGTCATGATTTGAAGAATTTAGAATCTACACTACCCCAGGATGCTTCCACATAAGTTTCAGCCTGTCTGGCCCAGTGGTTCTTGAGAAGAAGATTTTTTTCTGCATATTTCAATGCAAAACTTGGATTCCCTATTGTGGCCCCTCTTACATCCTAGGGTCATGATTTGAACAATTTAGAATCTACACTACCCCAGCATGCTTCCACATTAGTTTCAGCCTTTCTGGCTCAGTGGTTCTTGAGAAGAAGATTTTAAAAAAAAAATTTCTGCACATTTCAATGCAACACTCCCTATTGTTGCCCCGCCCTACCCCCGGGGGTCATGATTTGAACAAATTAGAATCTATACTACCCCAGGATGCTTCCATAAGTTTCAGCTTTTCTGGCCCAGTGGTTCTTGAGAGGAAGATTTTTTAATGACCCCACCCAATTTTTGTCTTTTCTTGATTATCTGCCCTTTGAATGGGACTTGGCCCTTTAATTTAACAATTTAAACTCCCCTACACCTAAGGATGCTTTGTATCGAGTTTGGTTAAAATTGGCCCAATGGTTCTTGAGAAGAAGTTGAAAATGTGAAAAGTTTACAGATGGATGGACAGACAGACGGATGGACATCGGGTGATCAGAAATGCTCACTTGAGCTTTCAGCTCAGGTGAGCTAAAAACTAAGTAGTTCATGCACAAAATAATTGGTTTTACTGTATTTCTTTTTTTATGTCTTGACATCAAGAGCCTAGTAAGCCTTTCCAATATGGGAAACAATAGCGACATTTGCTTGAAATTGGGAAAAACATATATGACGAGAAAAGTACAGACCTGTCTACACTTTTCATTGCAGAGGTGTATTCTAAATCCTCATTATGGTAAAATTTCAGATACAATGGTGTAATTCTTTGTATTTTCCTATTTTGATGTCTCATGTTTCTATATAATCTAAACCAAATCTGTTTTACATCACGTTATAAAGGACATAAAAATTATTTTCAAATTATTTACTGACAAAAATTCTCTGTTTTGTAAAACATCAGCAACCTAACATCTCAATGTCTTAAATATGTAACTCAAGTCTTAATGATGTATTTGGTCAATAGTTTGCATATATCAAGTAATTCAGTCTTTGGGTGGCATAAATTGCACAAATCATTATTAATAATTTAATGTACGAGCATATGATGTTTTTGTTCCTGTTTCACCTTCCACATTTTCAGCACAGTCCTACTTACAATTAATCATTTTCTGTTTTTCTCCCTTAAAGAACTATAGCCCCCCTTGATATACACGTATATTAAAGTGTTTTACAGATCTTGTCTCAGGGCTCGACATTAACGCTTGTCCGCATGCCCGGTACCAGTGAAAAAAAATTACGGACAAGTGAATATTGCTGGGCACTTGTCTGATTGGACAAGTGCATTTTAATGTAAAGAAGTCTCTAAATAATAAAAAGAATGACTGTTGAAAGTTAATAGGTAGTTTCAAGATGGAAACCCTACATAAAAACCGGACTTCAATTCACATTTGATCGGGATCGAAGTTCACTAATTGCATACTACTGAAAAGGCATGGAACTTACAAACTTAACAAAGTTTGGATTCTGTTTGATGTTGACAGGTTAACTTGTTGTTAGATAAATTTTGTTTTATGTGTTTGTTGTATTTATCAATAACATCACTAATAAATCAAGCACATGTCATGTGTAATGGACTTTATTTTAGTTTTCAACAGTGTTTGAAATAACCGTGCGCTCGACCGCCCGAGACGCACAAATTTTGTAGTGGGCAAACAAATTTGCATGTACTGACGCCTGGATGGTCATGTTAAAATTTTCGATAATTAAAATTCATATACCGTATTTGGCCAAATATAATACGCATTGGTGTAAAATACGCACCCCCCTTTTTGAGTCTGAAACTGAGGGAAAAAACGCAGTTCGGTTGTATTATACGCAGCAGAAAATTTTACCAAGCGGTGTTCTGAACTTTTGAAAATCGCGGTTATTTGCTATGAAAATCGGCGCGGAGATAAAGTGCCGAAAATTTACAGAACACGATATTTTATTCAAATGCGTTTTTATTTCTTAATCTTGACTTACCATATCGCGGCAATCTGGAGGAAATTATTTATTTTAACAAAGCACGAGATAATGTTGCATTAAAGTACAGGTAACTCTCGAAACCTCGAAGTCCGCGGGACCAAGGAAAAACTTCGAGAGATCAAGAGTTCGAGTTTTCAAGAGTCCGGAATTTTCCGGGTTTGTTGCAGGTTTTAAAATTAGTCTTACCGGATGTAATGATTTTCATGCAGTGCAAACCTTTTACACGTGGTTTTTATAAAACAAATATTTTTTCGTATTTCAGATGAATATTTCATTAAACTGAGTAAAGCAAAAAATGTATATCGTCATATCATGTATATTTATTTATTCTTTGTAATACGGACATCATACTAAGCATTCGTTACATGAAAACCACATTTTACAGCGTCGTACATAGCACTGACTATTCCAAACATGATTATTGAACGCAGTTCTGTAAGTATTTGTCCAATACTAGTCGTCATATTGACATTGAGGCCGTTTCTGCTTTTTCATATTTCGTTTAACTTTGACACTGACTCGAAATAAAAATCAAATTAGTGTTTTGTCTTTTAATAAATTACCACTTTTCAAAGACACTACGTTTCTAAATTATCGTAAGACAGTCGAAGATAATTATTTTAATAGCATATAGGCAAAATATGATTCATTATGAATCAATTATCACCTTGCAGCATAAGTGTCACCTGAATAAACATCCTGTTCCTCGAGACCCGCGTCTTCTGCCTGGGGCCATTTAAATGTCCAGGTAAAGGTGCTAATTATATAACCTTGTATACACATAGCCACTTCGAGGTATCGAGGGTAAATTCTAATAGAATATGCATAGCGGGACTGCATTTTGACTTCGAGGGATCAAGGGTTTCGAGAGATCAAGAGTTCGAGAAATCAAGAGTAAATTTGCTTAGTTATATAGTGGAAAAATTCGGGACCGGAGACTCACTTCGAGCGATCAAGAACTTCGAGAGATCGAAGTTCGAGCCATCAAGAGTTACCTGTATTATCAGAGTTTATTATAAATTTTTTAGCATATGGTGATTTTGAAATTATACGTCGCTGTATTCTAACTATTCTTTGTGGAAATAATTTTACTTCAACAAAGCACGAGATATTGTTGCAAGTTTAACAGTTGTCATATTTATTTTTAGTTTAAGGTAATCATGTTGAAAATTATGTAAATTTAACAGGGCAAGCGATATTGCAACATCAAAGTATTCATAGACTACGATTTTCCTCTTTTGAACTTGAAATTAATTAATTAAATAAATAGCTGATGTTATAAAAATAAAATCAAAATTTAACAAGAGTGTAAAGTGTAGTTATCAACACACCTCCAAAGCTGTGAAAAATGATGTACAATGGTGGGATATATGTCTTCATACATCGAGGTAATCTCCGTGGATATCTTATTTTCTACAGAGCACGAGTAAATGATAACACTAAAGTTTCAACATACTTCGTATTTTCTTTTTTTAACTCTCAGTCTTTTAAACATGAGGCCAATATAAGATAAAGTAAAATTACATTTAACAAGCGTTTAACTGTTTAATGTGTCGTAATCAACACACGCTTATACATACGAAAGAGCATAAACCAACCCCCGATTTTTAACAAAGAAAATAATCAAAGCCATTAATAAGGGCAGTAAATAATCAGTGCTCTAACTATAAAAACAGTGCTTTGGAGTCGGTAAACAATTTAATTGCCTGGAGGGGTGTTGAGGGGTAATTATCAAGTGACAAGCGCAAGTGTTCACAACATTGGCTTCCATTCATTGGGACGTATAGAGGGGTGTTTACTGTTTATGTTGAAATGAATTTTCACTGAGTTATTTAAAACCTGAAATAAATTTGATTTTATTGTATTTCATTAAAAAATGACATTATTTTTTTGAGCGAGTGTCTGACTGATTAGGTACATGTGTACCTTGATTACGGAAGCACGTGGCAAAGGAATGTGTCAACATCTATAAATAACATCGTTAATGGCGGTCTACACGGAGACGATGAACATGCAGCTCAAATTAATTTTAACTTGCTTTTATATTTAATTTAACTAGCAAAAGGTTATAAATATAACATTTTTATCAAGCCTACACTCAAACAATAACTTTGCGAAATTTTAAATACGGCGATAAACAGCGAGAAATTGCACAAGTCTCTAGGTAATACTTTGGTATGTGTGTATGATAGCCGTGTTTCACATGAAAGAAAAACCTATCAAAATCCCATTGTGGTGTAAAATACGCACCCCTTTCTCACAGAAAATTATTTTGGGAAAAAAGTGCGTATTATATTCAGCCAAATACGGTATTTGATAAATCTTTTTCATGTCAAGCAATAGTATCGGTAGCAAAGTGTAACAAGCCAATAGGAAAAATTCATCAGCCTATTGATTCTGGTTTGAAGTTATGGTGACCTGGCTCCAGTCACATTATCGTAAAAAACAAATTTATAAAAGACAATTTTTTTCTCGGGCAAGTAGATCTTTGGCAGGGCTGACAACTTTTACTAGCAGTCAGCCCTGCATGTCTGTCTAACTTTACAGTGAGTTTCAAACACTGGTTTTCAAGTTGACAGTATTAGATCTTTATTGAAAAATTTTCGGACAATTAAAGTTGAAGTTCGGACAAGTAAATGTCTTGGTCACTTGTCCGAATAAACAAGTAGGGAAAAAAGTTAATGTCGAGCCCTGTGTCTATGCATATTACATGGTTGTTCTTAAACCTATAAATAACACATTTTTAAGCAAGGCATTTTAAAAGTGTAAAATTGAATTTAATGGTGTAATGATGTAATTTAGTAATAAAAAGCAAAAGAATTATGCCAAAAGCAGAAGGATTAACAGAATTGAAAGAAGGAAAAATCCAAAATAATTTAGTAAGGTATAATTGGATTCCTTCTACTTTCAATTGGTCAAGACTTGCCTCATTTAAAGCAATATGAGCTGCATTTATGAGAATTTTATTTTGTTGTTAAAATGTGCTGTTATGATAAATCTGTATGTTACTTAAACCTTTATGATCAATTAGACTAAAATAAAGTATTAAATTGTTTCATAAGAAAGATTTCTGCACAATGGAATGTATAGTATTATATAAGAAATCAATATTTTACAGGATGACAATAATGTAATTTTGCTTCAATCAAAGCTTAAAATTAGTTCTTCCATTGCAAATATAAACAACAGAAGTTTATAAACACTCTTTTTTCTGTCATTGAAATAATTAATTATAATACTGCAACAAAAATTTCTGACGTCAAAGTTGCAGCTCATATTGCTTTAAATAAGCAGAGGCCAAAAAAATTAGGTTAACTTTACAACTTTGGATTAAAAATTGGAATGTTAGGGACATTTTTATGCAATAAGGTTATCCTGCTTTGATTTTTTTTCATTGTTTGGGAATTTTAAAGCAAAAATCGGGAAAATTACCTGCTTTTTAGATGCTAAAAATGTTAAAATTGATAACAATTACTATCTACACATAAGAAACCCTTGGCTTTATCTCTGTTTGGGATGTTGCATAGAGTAAAATTGCCTTCATTTACAACAGATCACAGGTACTGCTAGTTACAAATCAGACAACTTAAACGTCTCCTCATTTCTAAAGTAAAATGACATCCTATGTTGTACCTTCAAAGTCTTGATCAGCAAAGTTGAACATAACCACTCCTACATTTCCTCTGTAATCCTGGTCTATCACGCCAGCTGTTCAAAGAAAGAGAAAGTATAAATACTAAATGCTTATCATGGGATTATGTTACAAACATAAGTCTTTAATAATTGGACTTTTTGAACATGAACTCCCTGATGAAATGGAGTTGATGTGTATGTTACATTAATTACAGATCTCTGATTTACAATGAGATCTGCTTTTCAGATCTTTAAAAGTGTTCTGATTTAAGTGTACCACATTTTGATTTAGATAGATTTAATTCATCATACCTCCCACATCTATGAAGTGTTTTGCTGCCAGTCCTGATCGTGGAGCTGAAAAAGATACAAATTAAGTTTTACAAATAGATATACAATTCATATTTTTGAAAATTGCATTTCGAAAGGTTAACTTTATTTCTGTAGCATTTATGTTCAGCCACAAATTTCTTTGGTTCAAATTTAAAGTTTATAAAAACTAAATCTGTATATATCAACATAACCTCAGATTTATTTTCTCATACCAACTCTCCCGTAGCAGCCATCAGGTAGGGCTATCTGGATATCTGTTTTTGCAATCACTTTCCCTTTTGCAGGAATAACATAGTCATAAGCACTGGAAAAAAATGACATCACTTTTTTGAAAAAAATCACTTTACTCGGCTATGTTAAGGAAGGAAATGGAAAATGCGATCTTACGTACATGCTTAATACGTATTATTTTTAAAAATCTTTGTAACAAAGTAACTGTAAAAAATGTAGGACAGGTAATATAGATATCCATAATGGATAGGTTTGTGGCTTACTCAGTACCAGTTACATCGCATGTATCAGCTGTGTGTCACGTGACTTGTATAAAAATAGAATTGTTCAACTGAATGTAGAAAATGGGGCTAGTGCAAGCGCATACCCATGTTTTTAGAGAAAAAAATTGATACATATTAAAAAAGATTAACATCGGCTTCCCGAAAAGTGCTGGGAGCTAGTTTGAGCTGTTTCGGAAATACTCGTAATTTTGCCGAACATGCGTTTAATAGCCCAGAATTTCCACTTCGCTTAAATTCTGTCATTAATAAAAATAATGTTATGCCGATCAGAATCAGCTCCCAGCACTTTTCAAAATATACAAGAAATAAGCAATTGATATTCCATATTTCAGCTCAAACAGTCTAGTCTATGCCCTTGCACTTTTGAGCTTAATCAGGTATACACTCATCGTGTTAGCGATATTCTTGACATACTTTGTCTTTGTGCAGCTCCATAGCACCTGGATATATTAATAATCTACATTATTGTTTTAAAGAAATCATTTCCTTTTAATTTTATTGATTAGATTTAAACATTAGCAATGGTTTAATATTTATTTAAGCATTTTTGTAATTATTAAACCAATGGATCCACGCCTCTTGATCACTTGTACTGCGTCAAGTCAAGGCTAGTGACGTCATTTATGAAGCAAGATTTGCTTCTAATAACTCGGCAGTATAGTTATCAGATGTTGTGATTTTACATGCTTTTTTAAATAATTGATAAAATAAATGAATGCAAGATGTTATTTACGCATTATCATGTGGTTAAATAGATTTTTGTCGCTTGTTAAATTTTCAATGACGTCACAATGAAACTCACATACGGTGCATCACAGATGTGAACTCAGGCCTTCCTTAACATAGCTGAGTAATTACACGAATAATGTTAACATCGTTACCATCATATTGATAACTAATGGTTAATACTGACCACTGTACAAATGCCTCAAGTAGCTTTATATAGCTATTTAATTCAAGTTTTTAAAGATTTGCTTATCTAAACTGACAAAAAATCGCAAGTATGTGACTACTACTATTTATACTAGGGAGTTTTAAAATAGCAACTTTGAGCAAAGATAGTTTAAAACATTGCTGCTTTTGAACACTTTTAAGCAAAAGATGTATTCCATTGTTTAACTGTATACCACATTGTGTGTGATGAGGCAAAGATAAGTATGATTACTTCATATTGTGCTGAATTATTACCAATCATTATGCTAATCAGAACTGGTCTTCTTTGTTATTTCAATCAAGAAGTAACTGTTTGGTTAGAAATAGACTGTTGTGCATAGCCCCAAACTGCAATTGCGCTGAAAGAGCAGCGTTTTTTCCCTCATATAACTGGTACATGTTCCGACAAACAGTACCATTCCCAATGCCAAAAAACGTTAATTTTTCCAATTCCGAGACTAAAAATTCCCAATTCAGCTGCCAAGCAACAGACTATGATAACATTGTATTTCTTTTTAGTGAAACATTGTAAAAGTTGACTAATTTTCACTTCCACTTAAATCAAAAGTAGAGATAAGTTGTATATGGCGGGACCTGTGGTGTACACAGCGTAGTGTCATACATTTTGACAAATTGAAAGCATGAACAGTGAAAACAAGGGGCATTGATATGAAAAACAATAAATACTTGTTGTTTATTCTTTAAAGCACGGAGTAATAGGTAATGAGGTTGGAATGAATGCCAAATACATTTCATTTGTTTAAATGACAAAAAATTCTCCTTTTTTCTACTTCGATGCTATTTTTCCCAATTGAACCGGTACCGGACCTTTTACCAATGGGTAGAAAAAATTGCTAAAGAGACACATCTTCAAGAGTGATTTTTTCTTGAATTGTATTCACTGAAGGTATTCAAGCTATGTAGCTAAATCTAGTGATTGTACCAGACCTGTGTACGACAGATTGTGCAATTTTCCTCAAGTGCAGGGTATTAAAAATCAAGGATGCGAGTTGCAGAGGCATCCTCACAATGTCAGGGGTCCTGAGTCAACAAGTTGCCGTTGGACCCCTGACAAATTTCATTGGATATCTTGAGGGCTGACTGCAGTGACGTCTTTTGGGAAATTACAAATCTCGATAGTTTTTCTTAATATCTTTCAACCAATCACATTAAATCTTTTGGTAATAAACAATGCATAACATGTGCATTTTAGTTGTCAACTGATTCCTTTCTATTTATCTGTCTACTTCAATTTTATTGGTGCTTCTGAGCATGCTCAGTGAGAGAAGCAAGCCCAAATATATCATATGAAATTTGTCAGGGGTCCAACGGCCAACATGTTGACTTCGGACCCCTGAGGTTGTGAGGATGGTTGCAGAGGTTGTACATGTATCTCCTGGCTGCTTCCATTATTTGTTTCCTTGAGTACTGACTGTGGTTAAGTAAAGTATAAATAAAATGTTAGTGTTCACCTGTACAAGTCATATCCAGCTGCCAATTTTGAACCCCTTGTTGGAGAGAAAGCATTTTTAGAGAGTTTTGCGAATTTTAAAACAACAGAATCGATCGGCATCGTGCAGATTTTCTTATTCAGAGGCTCCTGGATATTTTCTTTATCCTCTGCAATACTGCTCATTTCCCGCGCAGTTCACCCACTCGGAACTCTTCGGCTACCTAATAAAAATAACTCGCACGGGGAAAAATTCGTTTGAATTATTATCGGGTTCGGCAATTAAAAACTTTCGTGTAAGTTATTGCTGTAGACAATTCACAATAAATTTTTATAAAAATGGATGAAAATGCTCTAGAAGCGTCCTTAGAACTGTATAAAGCCCAATTATCCCAAGTAGAACAAGCAATTCAAGCTGCTGGATCGGAGGAGAATGCAGATCTAATACAACTGAGGGGCGATTTACAGGAATTAGTGTCTCTGACAGAGGAGGGACTGTTGTCTCTAAAAAAGAGCAACATTCTCAAAGGTTTAGAGGGGAACGGTAATGAGAACAACACTGGAGATGATGAATATGCTGCTTTCCAGGCTGCCATAAAAGAGGAGGAGAATTCTGTGAAAGAAACTGCTACAGAGGACACTGATGATGAATATTCCGCTTTCCAAGCTGCTCTGCGGGAGGATTTAATGTGTCATAAAGGAAGTGATTCTAAGGCTTCAGGTTGTTCTTCAAGCAATGGCGAAATAATTAAAGGTCCAGAAATAAAAGACATAACAGAAGAATTGGCGGAAATAGTGGGAACTCTTTGTCGAGCGCCTTACATGCACGATTGGGGATCGTCCAGTTACCATAATGCCATGGTTACAGATATAAAGACATCTGATGATAACGAGATAATAGCTTCTGTGTTGTTTTGTAACCCTACTCATGAAGGAATGCTTCCATGTGAATATCATATAGAAGGAAAATGTAAATTCACCCCAGATCAATGCCGATACTCTCACGGACATTCAGTGAAGCTGGAAGATCTCAGAGAGTACTGTGAACCGAACTATAACTCCCTGAAGATGGAGTCACCTTGTTTGGCTCTTTACACTGATGGGCTTTGGTACAGGGCTGTCATTGTTGATGTTCTTGAGGAAGATCACCAATATACAGTGTCTTACGATAATTACAATGATACTGCCACATTGGATTTAAAAGACATTCTTCCACTTCACTCAACTGGCTCTGATTCTAGTGATGAAGAAGAGGAAAGCGAAGATAAGGAGTCAATGTTAGAAAAAGATGATTCCAGTGATTCCTCATCCACTGAGGAAGAAATGATTCCCAGATACTTTATGAGACCAAACCAAACCACTGAGGTACTCGGAGAATGGGAGGAACATACTAGAGGAATTGCCTCAAAATTGATGGCAAAAATGGGGTACATAGTGGGACAAGGGCTTGGTAAACTTAGTCAAGGTCGTTCAGAGCCTGTTCCAATTCAGCTTATTCCCCAGGGAAAATCCTTAGATAAAATTATGGAATTGAAAGAGAAAGCAGGTGATCAAGATATGTTTAACGTCTCAAAGAAAATGAAGAAGAAGAAAAAACACGGCAAGATGACCACGAAATCGAGATCTGAAACTGTGACGTCTTCAAGTGATGTGTTCCATTTCATAAATAAAAAGTTAGGTGGTAAAAAAGGAAACATCAAAGAGCTTATACATCACCATAATCACAAAGCAAAGAATGCTCCAGTAAGAATTCTTGAAAAAGAACTTTCTGGTCGCAGTGATAGGAACTTAAACATTCAGTTGCTTAAAACAGAGGAAGAAATCAGAAACACAGAGAAGGAGATTGCTCGACTTAAACAAGCTTTACAAAGACATGAGAAGAAGGACGAAGGGATGGCAAAACAGTATCGAGCCAAACTCGCTAAAACTGAGCTTTACCTAAAAGAACTTAAAACATCTGAAAAAACTATACAGAATCATAAAACTAAACGAGGAAACCACAAAAAGTTAACTGTCTTCTAGAGGCACCTGTTAATTGAATACACATGTACTTACTTAGTCCTTTTAATTAGATATTTAAATACCATTATATGATTTTAAAGTGATTAATCCAAAAGTATCTTTTTACAAGAATTTTTATATTGAAGTACCTCCATTTTAATCAGTATAATATTTACTGGAGAAATATTGCCCTATTTGTGTTACAGAATAAACTATGTGTGATGGTTGTGTTATCTGGTTATATCTTAGACTAATATCATTTTAATTAGACTAATTAATCACGTTTACCCCTTTATCCTGTGGATATCACTCATTGGATATTTTTTTTTTTATACCACTGTCATGTCACAATGGTTTTTACATGAAAATGAAGTAAAATAATGTGAATTCATTAATATAAAACAGCTTGTGTAAAACATTGAAAACATTGATAGTTATATGTATAAAACATGATAAAAAGAATCTCCCATGATTTGTGGTTGGATATGATTTTTACCCAACATGTGAGCTTTTTATCCCCTAGCCGAGGCTTGGGCATTATATATTATGTAGCTTTTTATTTACTGAACATAAGTAAAATTTGTGTATATACCATATATGATGATAGTTGAATCAATTGTGTGAAAAAAAAATCATCATCAGATTAAAAAGAGAAGGGATAAAGGAAACTTTTGATGTGACCATGCAACAAAATGTTATTGAAAAAGCTGAAGATAATGAACAGGATCAATATCCAAAACAATAGAAATCTAAACAGGGCATAAAACACAGAACCCCAGAAATTCCAGAGGTAGGATCAGGTGCCTAGGAAGAGGAAGCATCCCCTCCCTTACCAAACTGTTATGTTTGCTGCAGACCTGCAGCAAGTCTGCTGCAAGTTTGCAGCAAACAAAATTGTTCACAGGAAGAAAATTTTCTTGTTCGCAGATGATTGCCGCTAGCTGCGATCTTGCGGCAAACATTGCAGCAATTGCTGCAAGCTTGCAGCAAATTCGCAGGAACTCAACATGTTTGCAGGAACATTGCAAGAAACATAAATGCCAATCTGTTGTTCGCAGCAAGTTTGCAGGAAACATTCAACAAATTGAATGTTTGCAGGAAGTTTGCAAGAACAGTAAACAAGACAAATCAGCCAATGAAATGCAGACTGTACTGAGGTCAATACAGAATTCGCCATTTTGAAATGTTTGAATTGAAGTTGTAGATGTTTCAGTATTTTGTTAGGAATATATACCATTTTGAATGATTACAAAAGCATAATAATGGATGTAGGAGTACATTGGCATACAAACATCTAATTGGTAAGATCTGATTTTGTTTTATTTTAATATGAAACAATTATCTCTTGTAAACTGGTGTACTTGCTTAATCTAAATCTACTCATGAATTTCAATCTTTATTTTAATATCACATTTGTATGTTTCTTTAATGTATTAAAGGTTCAAAACCAATTTTTATAAATGTTTATACGTTTTCAAATAAATTGGTATTTAAAATGTAAAATTTTAATTTGTGTGTACATAGAGTTATGTGCAAGGGTTCTTAATTTTTTCTGTACATGTCTATTACATCTGTACATGTATATTACATTTGAATTAAGAATAGTATGGGAACCTTGTCTAGGAACAAAAAGAAAGACTGTCAACAATTCAGAAACTTGCATCATTTCAGACACATATGGTGGATTTCTCTATAATTAACAGATTAAGGTCAGGACAAAGGCTCTCTGCGAACTTATTGCTTGTATGCAGGAATGTGCTGAAAACAATAAATATATTGCTTGCTGCAAGTTAGCAGCAATTTAATGTTTGCCGCAAGCTTGCAGCAATGTTTGCCGCAAGTTTGCAGCAATGTATGCCGCAAGCTTGCAGCAATGTTTGCGGCAAACTTGCGGCAATGTTTGCTGCAAGCTTGCAGCAAGGTCTCCATATTTGGAAAAACCAATGTTTGCTGCAGACTTGCAGCAAACCTCATTTGCATGGTAAAATGTTTGCTGCAAGCTTGCTGCATACCTGCCGCAAACTTGCTGCAAACACAGAAGCTTTTCATAGGCTGTCATGGTTTCTTTAGCTTCATTGCTGCAAGCTTGCAGCAATGTCTGCAGCAGGTTTGCAGCAATGTTTGCTGCAGACTTGCAGCAAATGTTTGCAGGAAGGCAGTATTTTTGGTAAGGGCTGTTGACCAATGATTAAAAAATGAAATCAACTTATTCTATGTTCAATCACACCATCAAATAGGTGCATGTAAATTCATTCTTTCAAATATATGGATATTGTTACTTAGCCATTCTCTATCCAGAGTTGTCTTCCGCTACGCTCACAACACCTCTGTCAACGCTTGTTGTACAAGATTCTTGTACAAATTCTAAACTGTGAAAGTTTGAAATGTAAATAGTAATTAATTATTGTAATTATCGATAAAGATAATAATTTAACATTTATTTTAAATCTATAATCCCTCAAAACGACTTATTTTAAAAGTGTTTAGGGAACTTAATTTTGCGGTCAGTAAAAATTAAAATCTTTATTAAAAAATCCATTTCAGGTGTAATAAATTATAATAAAATGTTTTCTGATAAGAAATATAATGAAGAACAATTATTAATACAACTTTTAACCATTTTTAATTTTTCTAAGAATCTTGTATAACAAGTGTTGACAGAGGTGTATGTGGGAGCTTAGCGGGAACGACAACTCTGGATGAGAATGGTTACTTAGCCCTGCATTTTTTTTACCCTCTGATCTTTAGAAATTTCCCGACAAGCTCTGCACCAGTGATTTGTATTTATTCCTCTTAAGTTTTCAATTTATTTTTCAGAACCACTGCAAATATGTTTTATACCCAGTTATCACTTTAAAATATGGTACGAATGAGTAAATGTACAATCTACTTTCCAAGGTACGAGAAACTCGGAATGCCTTGGTAATTTTCATTGAACATGTGGACGTCATGCCGTTTGTTTTGGTTTGTGGATTTCCATCAAGTGGAAAAAGTAAACGAACAGAGGACTTGAGATATTACTTAAGTGAAAATACAGAAAGAACTGTACATGTCGTAAGCGATCATACACTGGGATTTGACAAGAATAAAGTGTATGCAGGTAATAATGGCTGAGGTATCCCTCTCGAATTTCCTCAATATGGTAACGTATTTTTTTTTTTTTTTAGAAATAATAATCCGATATTCCTCTGACTTTAACCCCCGCCTTTATATCGGGACGTGCGGGGGGAGATGTCGCAAATGTCAAAATGTAATAGCAGAGGGTTAAAGTTATACAAATCTCGGATTAATATTAAATTATGTGATATACTGTCAACACAGAAAAATACTTGCCATACAAATTTATTTTGCTCTCTAGCCAAATTTATCAGGAGGAAAAATGAAAGTTGTGTGTTTTCAGTTTAAAATTGAGATATGTTAAAAATTTCCATCCAAAAATTATAAATCCTTGTAAAAGAGCAAATTTCATTATCTTTTCATCTACCATGCAATGTACCTCTCAGGCCTTTAACAGGTTGGGAACAATCGCCCAAATTGAACATAATATAGCCTGTCTGGAGATATAATATCCCAAATGGGATATAAATTTACAGTGCAAAAAATTGAAAATTTTTATTTTGGCCATAAATATCATAAATCCGCATCAAAATTCTTTAAAAGGAATAACTTTTGGCAAGCAAGTTTTTCTGCAACCCTACGGGTTGTTAGATCAGAGACATATAAAAACCATAGATTGATCCCCAAGATGTTTACGAACTTCCGAGGGATCAATCTCTTAAACAGTCAGGTCATACAGAAAAACTTGTTAACCAAAAGTTATTCCTTTATAAGTATCTTGATGCGGATTTATGATAATTATAGTCAAGATAAAAAATTTTCATTTTTTTCATTGTAAATTTATATCCCATTTGGGATATTATATTCCAAACGGGCTATTATATCCCCTTTTGGGCGATTGGTCCCAACCTGTTTAACATTAAATGCTAGGAGGTCTCAATTCATTCAATAGGAACACCCTGAATGAGACCATCTTTAAATGTTATTATTAAATTTTATTAGACATGCAGCATTATGTTTTATGAAATAAAAGTACCGGTATCATAAAAAATCTGTTATTCTAAATCTTACTGCATATATTGTGGTATTCTCTGTCAAATCTGCATTACACTGGATAACAACAATTAACCATTGACCTTTTGTGAAAAACTCTCTTGTAAGGACAAAAATCAACCATTTCCTGGAACATGAATATTCGGTGATATATAGTCTAACGTACAGCATAATTGACATTATTAAGGTTAACCACCATGTATAACAGTGCTAAATGTTTTCAAAATACTTTGAGTTACTGGTATTTATGTCAAAAAGATGTCCAAAAAATGATGTATTCTGATCATGAATGTTCAGGTTGGATTTACTGCTTCATTGTTGTTGACATGATGCCACATCCTCACAATGTCATGGTTCCTGGGTTCACTCGTGGCTGTAGGACCCCTAACAAACTTTATTCATTTTTATAGGCTCACTGCAGTCATGTCTTTTGGGGAAAATATAAATCCTGATTGTTTTTATTATATCTTGACCAATCACCTTAATCCTTTTGGTGATGAACAACTTGTAACATGCTTACATGTTTCGATGTGTCAACTGCAGCCTTTCTGTTGACCTTTTATGTCTACTAATGAAAGCCCAATTTGATTGATGCTTTAATGAAAGAAGCAGGCAAAAAAAAAAAAGAATGAAGTTTGTCACGGGTCCCATGGCTTCGAGTGGACTGAGGACCCCCTGACGTTGTGAGGATGATCGATGCACATACTTTGCACAATCCTTTTTATTCTTGAATGATCATCTTGTAAACTGTAAGGCATTCCTCTTTAAATCAATAAAATGCAGTACAATAATTTAGCATTTTTTTTGAAAATTACCATAAACATAAAAAAAAGAAAATATTATTTGTAGATTCAATATTACTCTATAATGTACCCCTTTACATCTTCCCTGCTTGTAGATTCAATTGAGGAGAAAGAAATTCGAGGAAAATTAAAGTCTGAGGTACAGAGGTGAGGTACATTATGTTGCAGATAATTACAATGATCAGGAATATTGATTTGGATTTATTATCACTTTTCCTTTTTGTCTCCACTGATCATAAAGTAGAAAAGCTTTAGCAATACTAAGTAGTCTGTAAACAGCTTTTTTTCAAAATGCTTTTTTGTCAGACAGTTTTGATTCAGTTTCAAAAAAAATAAAAAAATAAAAAATCAAAAAATTTAAAAATTTAAAAAAAAAAAATTAGTCTGAATTCAATTAAACAAAAGTACAGGAGTTTTATTTATGCATTTTGATGTTAATCTCTTATTAATACAAGAAGCTGCTAATGTTACCTGACAAAGTCTTGGTCTGCTTTTCATGAAACTTGGTAAACAGAGAATACACCAATACACCTATATACCTAATTCTCACCAGCAAGTTTAATTTTATTTAGCATTGATATGGTTGCAGAAATTGAATAATCTGTGATTCTTTTTGTTTTGACTTACTAGACTTGATACTCTCTTTACAATTTTGGAAAGAAAAACACCTTTAGCAAAGAAATCATTAACTTGCATAATACTGTAAATATAAAGCTCAGCAAGAAACTGTGTGCCAACCCAGATGCAAATTTCAGGCTACAATTTGTGATACAGTTTGTGATAATGGAAATATTTCCTCGCTTTAACCAAATCTTTGAAAAAGAAGAAAGAGTATGTGCAAACAAGTTTAGTATAGTGCTAAAAGAAATGCAAAGAACATCTGCACACACACAACACACACAGCTACAACACTCATACAAATAAAAAAAACCCAATAAAATAATAAACAAAAAATAATGATAGTATCAATACACCGACTATATCATCGTCATACCAGACCAGACAAATGTTTTATTGCGATGTGCGAATAAAATCAAAAATCGGAATCACTGACTGACGAGACCACAGAGGTTGACCCAAGACGTTACCGTATACTGTTCATAGACACACAGTCATTGGTTTAAGCTCATGGAATTACGGTCACAACACTGTCCAAAGGCTGCACGTCCCTCTAGCCTTCAACGCCTTAGTACTTAGGACTTCCTCGAATGTCTCAGTATGCCATAATGTTCACCTGCTACTGTAAACACGCACATACACAGCTGGTCACCTATAATAACACATTACTTTAAGGTCTGGGTTTCCATAGTTGGTAATAAACGCATTCATACAGAATACTTGAATATGTCGGGTACATTATCTAGTACAAATAAAACTTAACAAAGTAATGACATAATACCGGTAACTTTTTCTTTAAAAAAAATAACAAAAAAAAACCTAGCTAACAAAATATACAGTTCAAACTCACCACTGCCAAAGTTCTCAGAATTACTCTACTGTCCACACAGGAAAACTTCTTGAACACTCACACAAACCATTCAGGCCAAATGCACACAGCCATTTTTCTCGCAACCACACAGGTCATACAACATCTTTACTTAGGAAGGACACACCTTCTCACTTCTACGGCCTGCTCAGAACTAACTTACACGTAGACAAATTGTTAAAACCGGTCTGACAGCCGTAACCAGCTATCCATAATGACTATGCGATGAGAATGAACCTATGGTACACCATAACCAACATAATCAAATTAAACAAAATTGTGACAGTAAGGTGTCTGTTTAGTCTGTCTAGTAGTCTGTAGACAGCTTTTTTCAAAATGCTTTTTTGTCATACAGTTTTGTTTCAGTTTAAAAATAAAAAATTAAAAAAAATTAAAAAATTTAAAAAAAAAAAAATTAGTCTGAATTCAATAAATTTAAAACAAAAGTACAGGAGTTTTATTTATGCATTTTGATGTTAAGCTCTTATTAATACAAGAAGCTGCTAATGTTACTTGACAAAGTCTTGGTCTGCTTTTCATGAAACTTGGTAAACAGAGAATACACCAATACACCTATATACCTAATTCTCCCCAGCAAGTTTAATTTTATATAGCATTGATATGGTTGCAGAAATTGAATAATCTGTGATTCTTTTTGTTTTGACTTACTAGATTTGATACTCCCTTTACAATTTTGGAAAGAAAAACACCTTTAGCAAAGAAAACATCAACTTGCATAATACTGTAAATATAAAGCTCAGTAAGAAACTGTGTGCCAACCCAGATGCGAATTTCAGGCTAATATAGATTTCATCCTGTAGAGCTACAGTCTCTTCAGTGAAATTTGTGATGATTGTAGCAGTGCTGTATTTGTAGGTTACTGAACAAGGATGACGTGGTAATTCTAGACTCCCTTAATTATATCAAAGGTAAGTTTTCTAAGGAAGCTGGGGGAAAAAAATCTGAATATCATGAAGGGCTAGTATTTGTATGTTTTATTTATTAATCAGTACATAGTTAAAGTACATTACTGCATTATATTACCTGCTTTCTTTAATGTTCAATGATATTTTTAAGTTTAATAGTAACTTCTGAATTAGTTCATTAATGTTTACTACTTCCTTTCTATTTTTTGCTTGTATTTTTTAGGTTTTCGATATGAATTATACTGCATAACAAAAGCCTGTAAAACACCCCAATGTGTGGTGAGTCTGTTTACAAGACGAAAAATATTCCATTAATATTATTTAAGTTGTGATTGTGAAAGGAAAGAATTGAGACATTACTTTAAGCTGTATGTTCTTCACCTTTGCTTTGTTAATTCCTAGTATGTGATTTAATTTGCATTTTTTTTCTTACTGAATGACATCTTTTGATTTTGGGAGAAAGAACTTTTACATAATCGTATAATTTTGATTGATATAATTAGACAATACTTCAGGTTTTAAAATAAGGAAAAAGAAAAAAACTACAAATTTTCAGCTCTCTTATAAAATTAAGTGTTTGGTATCATAATTTTAAATGCTAGTTGTTGATTGAATGATTACACAGTACATGTATATACATGTAGATAGTCAGATCTATATGTAAACATGTTTGAATGACGAGTTTGAATTTAACAGATATTTTGTGATATCAGTAAAGAGAAAGCAACAGAATGGAACAGCAGAAGAGAACCAGACACAGACAGATACACAGACAAAATGTAAATTTTTACTATTACTTCTGCTGTCTAAATTTAGATGATTATTTTAAGCTCACTTTAAACTTATGCTACACCCCAGCGTCCCTTTTAATATTTTAGGAGCAAGCCTTTTGGTGACCAAACTTGCATAGAGGATGCATCTAGAGATGCACACTAGCAGACTTGCTTTGGGTGCTGAATTTGACCTACATTTCTTATTAACTTACTTATACTCACATATCCCATGCATGAGGCCATTCAACAAATGATGCCACTTATAACGGTCACTGGCAACAACCTGTGCTCCCCTGCAACTGTTCCACCCTAGTTCTTTTCTTTCTTCCAGCTCCTCCAGGTGTTCTATTGTTCTTCCTCACTTTCTTTTTCCCTTCAGAGGCCAATTTTGAAGAAATTTCTGAATGAGCAACCTGTTTAAAATTCTTGGATCAAGTTTATTTCAAAGTAAATACAAAGCCTACTTGAACGACTCGTCTGTGTGATCTAAGCATCTAAGGATGCTTACCAGAGAATTTATTTTGTATCACACCTTGCCTGACTTATAAATAATATTCAATGAGGTGAGCTTCCAAAGCTTTGATTTAATGTACCTACTGTATGTTTTTACAGTGCTGCTTTTTATATTTTTTTTCCAGTCTAGAGGAGTTGATGATGCGGTTTGAGGAACCTAACCCTAATCAGCGCTGGGACAGTCCGCTGTTTGTCATCCACCCTGAAGACAAACTTCCCTATGATCAGATCACAGATGCTCTCTTTAACAGGAAACCACCACCACCTAACATGGCCACACAGAATGTAATTTATTATTGTCACATTTTATTTATTTTATTGAAATTTGCTGAATTCTTTTTTTTTTTTGCCAGTGTATGAAACTTAAAAAAAATTGCTAGCTCTGAAGTCCAAGATTTTAAAATGAAGATACATGTAGAAATTATCAAAAGTTCCTAAAAATGAGAGGAAAGAGACACCATTGTAATGCAGAAGTGAAGACAATAGATTTTTTGTTGTCAACATTACAAGAACACACATTAAATAATATGCAGTATCAGTTAATATGAGGATTGATCCAAAAGTAATTTCATAGCTTCTATAAAAACTTAATAATCGAATGTTATCCGCAAAATTTTACATACTTATACCTCTATCTATTTTGATTTTTGTCTTAAAATTTCATTCAATTATTTAAGAAATAAGGTATCATTTTTAAACATCTATCGGGATATAAATACGGGTTGGTCACGAGATCAAATTCCATAAAGCCCGAAGGGCTTCCTTAGAAAACTTACCTTTGATATAATTAAGGGAGCCCGAAGGGCTTTATGGTAAATTTGATCTCGTACCAAGTACCAACCCATATTTATATCCCGATAGATGTTTAAAAATGATACCTTATTACTTATATTTACATTTGTGACTTATTCATATCATATATTAGCCTGATTATAACCTTTAACGCGTGAAATGTTTTATTTTTTCAAACTCAACGGCACAAGTTTGATCTATTGCTTTTAATAGTGTTATGTAAAAGGAAACATTTGCAAATGTAAATACTAATATATAAATTGTTAAAATGTTAAGATAAACACAACGTTAGGTTTGTCTCTTGCCGCACTGCAAGAATAATCCCGATGTCCTTATGGTGTTACTTTTCGACACTAATGGAGGATAGTCTGAAATCCGACGCTACACTAGATCTACATGTAAATGTACACACAGCAAAATGAATGTACAATGCAATATGGGAAGTTAAAATATGTTTTTTTATGAGATAGCTCAAAACTAGATGCTCCAGCACAAAGTTGTGAGTGTACATGAAATAAAACATAGATATAATAGATTTAATAGATTTATGGATAAAATAAAAATGAGTGCCAAAGAGAATAATGAGGTTGGTACATTTTTGCTGTGCAGAGATAGATGAGGGACCTAAAGTTGTGTAATTTTAATATTTTAAAAAAGTATCGCATATACATGTATCTGAATGAAATTTTATGGCAAAAGTCAAAATAGATAGAGGTATTAAGGTCAGACGACACGTTCCTCAAATATTTGCTTTTTTGTCTCTTTGAAATGTACCAAATATATTTATAATTATTGCTAACTTGCTATTTCTAATCTGTTTTTAAAATATCTGTTAAAAATAAAGAATAAAAAATTGTGATATAAGCAATTCAAGTCTTTCCCAAAAGGATTATATAGGAAACACCATCATCTGCTATCGTACACAAATGCCTGGTAAGGTATCTCAGTTTTTTGCGAGGAAACTTGTTAAAGGAGAAATATTTCAATGACAAATTATTAGGAAAAATTATATATTATTGAGGAACGTGTCGTCTGACCTTAATATATAAATTTTGTTGATAGCTTTCAATTATTAAAGATTTTATAGCAGTTGTGACATTACTTTAAGATCAGCCCTTGTACATGTATGTATCAGTATCTTTCTTTTATTTTAAAATAATATTTTATATTCTAATAAAATAATCACTCGTCTGGCTTGTTTGTGATAATAATTTGACTTCTTTTGTAGCAACCCCTCTCCTCCACAAACTTCCTGTATGAGTTGGACAGAGTAACACAGGGCACAGTCTCAGTAAGCATGGCTGATTTCAAAAGAGACCATTTACTGTGTACAGGAAAAATTTTGCCCCCATTTCATTTTTGCCCCTTTCTCCATAGATTTCAATATAAGAATTCAACAATGACATAGTTATCTCTCTTTGAACACATTGTGTCTTTGCAAATATAAAGGGGCAGAAACGTTAGCAAGATCGAAAGGGCAAAAATTACAGGGCAAAAATATGACTGCATACAGTATATTGATGTATATAAATATATTTTGTTGATTCAGTATAAATGTACAAACCACTATAATATTTCAGACTATAATGGAGTCCCAGAAACTGTGTGTGGCAGGAGATGATATTTCTATACCAAGGGCTACTGAAAAAGTATCCTTTTGAGAGAGTGTACATAACAATGATCAAATGCTATTGCTCTTGGATATAGAGTGGGCATCCTTTATCCTGATAGACAGTTCTTAATGTGAATACATGTATAAGCCTTGCCCTCTATCATAACGATAACCAAAGAAAGTCACAGAGAAGTAAATGTTATAGAAACTGTACCTTGGATTTTACTGGTATGATTATTTAAAAAAAAATGGCATGTATCATGTCCATGTAAATAACAAAACACTGTGGTTAGATAATTGCAAAACTCACAGAGGATTAGACACAATCCAGGATCTACTTAAATTTTATTTTTACCTATTGTTAAAGCTATATATGGCATATCTGAGCTAAAAAATGATGTTGTGAGATTAAGTGTAGATATACATGATATAATGTTATTTATGTCAAATTAAAATTTTCACCGATTTTCAACTTGAATAACCTCATGTTTCTATAATTAAATTGACTTTTAAATGTGTCTTTTATTTAAATGTGGATTCAGTAAATAAATTGGTTATTGTTATAATTTATGATATCTTTGAAATGCGGTTGATTTAAATTGTGTAATTTACAGAAGAGTCCTATCTTTATATAAAGTAATAAATCAAATGGAAAGATATTTTTAATTTTGATTATTTGAACTTAGTCAAAAATACACCTCATATGACTTTAAAATCACTGAAAACTTTTTTCCTAAAACCAGCATGATTTTAAAGAATAAATGAATGAACGAGTTAATAAATAAATAAATAGATAAATAAATAAATAAAAAAAATAAATTAATTAATTATTCTTCAGAGAGCCTTCAGATGTTGGTTAATTTCCTTAATTAGTTTACAGATTCATCTCCTTCGTCCAGTGACTCTAGCAGAACTACAGAGACACAGGCGTCAGTTTATAACCTACACAAAAATGCATCCTGTAGAGGACCTATCTAAGATCCCCAACATGTTTGTGCAATACATTAACAACTCATTGACCTGACAAAGGTTAATAGCTATAACAAGAACAACTTTAAATGTAGGAAAGATTTTGTGGAGTTACTGCCCCTGTATTTATGTATTGATATCTGATTTTTATGAAACTAAACAAAGAAAACAGTTTCATTTTATGATATTTGTAATTATAATGTAAGAATTGCAGTAAATTTTTTGTTTTGGAATTTTGCTCAAATTTTTTTGTCTTCAGATTGATTAAAAAAGTATTTGACAAATTGAAACTGCTCAAATTGCTGTATGCCATGAATGCTATAGTTGTATTATATAACAGTGTACAATAATCTGTTCACAGGAATAACAATTTCTCCTCAATATTATATGTGATATGTGAGGACAAAACATTTATGTGATAAAAATTTCACAGACAAAAACTGCGTAACAGTAGACATTTCAAAAGAATAATGTATTTTTATGGCATCACTAATTACAAAATGTATTGCGCTGTTAAATGAATGTTTTAGATCAATGATTTTACTTCTTTGTAAAGCCAGTATTTTTTAGTAAAGCAAATTTTGTATGTTGAAGCATTGATTTCGGTTTGTGGAGTTACTGCCCTTGTTTTTAATAAAATTGTCTCGAATATAAAAGTTTTTTTAATTAACAACTTGCTTTTAACAATTAATTATATATCAAGAATTAAGCTTGTTTAGTTTACACTTCAGGTTATTTGAATAATTTGTTCTTCTAAACTTATTTTATGAAATTAAAAGAATTATTAAATTGTTCACTGTTTTCTGTTACATTATTAGAATTTTATAGCAATCAACTTCACGAAAGTGGGAAATTCCCAAGTAACTATAAGTTCAATCTTTGCATTATCCCTGTCGAAGCTGTATAGGGATTCAACAATGTAATATAAAGACACGAAATACCATGAATTTAAGATGGGTGAGTACACTAGTACTGTAACACTTTTCTGCAGGCAGATAATGCTTCATGACATCCATAGGGGATGGCCGTTTGATTCTGAAAGGGGGGGGGGGGGCTTGGCAGATTTTGAAAAGACATTTGATGTTGAAAACAATCATTTGTAAGGAAATAAATAATCTGATCTTGACATATGCTAACCTACCCCCCCCCCCCCCCCCCAACTTCTCATTTTCAAGTTTGGGAAGTTTTTTTTGCTTGATTTTCAGTGAAGAAAAAAAAATCTGTCTCTTAGTGTTATTGTGGAAATAAAAACTAGTATTCTGTGATGAAGGACTGAAAATAAATAATCTGATTCCATAAAAGAAGAAGGTACGGTGGTTTTAGCTTTATTGTGCCCTAAAAAATTAATGTTTTCAAAAAGTTTTGAAACTGGCTTAAATATTAGTTGGGTATATGACTGTGATAAATCAGGAAAGAATATGGCATGAAGGAGTACCATTCTGGAAATATGACGTCATTGATTTGATGCATTTCTCTATTTTAAACAGAAAAGCCTCAAATGACTCATTTCAAGGGTTATTTTCCTCAAGAAAATAGTGTCCACAGCCGTCGCCCACTTTAATTTTTGGATATGTTGTGTAAAATTCTTTGAAATATCACATATCTCAAAATCTTTGTGGGCGATGCCTGTGGAAAATATTATCTGAAAGAAAATTCCATTGAAAATTGGTGTCTTCTGCAACTTTTTAAGAAAATACGGGAAAATGCACAAGTTTATGACGTCACAATTAGCATTTAGAAGGTCATATGAGAAAAATGATTTCAAATTGTATGATCTTTATGCATGGAATATCAATGATTAAGAAAGTATATGTTTTAATTTTTTACATCACTTTCATTTTTAAGTAAAACACAGGGCAAGATTTGTATTGAAACCGTACCTTGTTCTTTGCGAGCCCCAGCGAGCCCTCCTGCTTCCTCAGAATCAATTGGTTGTCTCCTTGAATGCAGTCAAATGTGCATTTATACCATTTTTTCGAGTAAAACACAGTGTCACTGTGAATATTATTGGACACAGGTATTCATTATTTTAACAATTAAATTGAAGACATCCTTAGATCAAAGACTAAAACAACTTTTAATCTTTAAGGCCATTTGTTTCCATTTTTCTTTCTCTTTCATTTTTGCCACTATGTATGAAAAATACTGGGAATGTGTCTCTTTATTACTTGCCAACTAAAGAGAACTCGGAAATGAATCATTCTGTAAAATCCAAAACACTTTGAATGTATAAAGTCATGTCACATTTTTAATTGAATGCCAATATTGTTCATGGCATTAAATATAATCTTTGTGAATTAACAAATTATGCTCTAATTTGTGATTTGCAAACTAGTACATGTATGAAGTGTAAATGGCATCCAATAGCTTGGCCTAGTGGATTAATCCTTTAACCTGATCGGTAGAGCACTGGACTGGCATGCCCAAGGTTTTGGGTTCAAATCCATCTAAAAGCACAAACATGTCTCTGTTACAATTTACAAGAAAACGTATCAAAAAAATCAATCTGTTGGTGAATTCCTTGTGTAGCAATAACTTTTCTCAACGGCTACATAAAAATACTTTGACAAGTACACGACCTAGTTTACAGTAGTACATGTTCTTGTAAATATATAACAAAGACATGTTTGTGCCTCTAAATGGATTTGAACTTGGGACCTCTGCCAGTCCAGTGCTCTACCCATTGGATTTACCTAACTCAAACTAGTAGGATGTCCTGTACTCCTACACTACCACACATAACAAGAAATTCCCAACAAAACTGTAGTTCTCCTGAATTTTAAGTGAAGTAAATTTGTGAGTGTATAATATTCTGAAAAATTTTCCTTCTGAACTTTGAATGAAAACTTAAGAAAAACACTTTAAATTTAAAACAGAACTAAAAGTATGTTAAAATGATTTCTGCAGTAGCATTCTAAAATATAGAAAATTCATTCTCAGCAACAAAACACTGTCCATTATTTAAAAAAAAAAAAAAAAAAAAAAAAAAAAAAAAAAAAAGAAATCCTACCGGTTTCAGTAAGGGAAACGCTACACAGATATGGCACTGATGTAAGTACACTGCAAGAAATATTTTTCTTTTGAATTGGCTTTATTTTGAATAGTACCTTAAATAGTATGTGCACAATACTCATTTCAAAATATGATTGATCATCCCATTCTCCATAAAGTGGAATGGAAGTTATGGAACTATAAAAAATGAATCAGAAGTGTTTTCTAATGCCAATAATCATTGAAAATATATGTATAAACCCCTTTAAATATCATATTTTTACAGAAACAATATGTATCAAAAACATATTTATTATGATATAAATGGGAGTGATACTTGGAGCACTTGTGTAAAGCTAATCTTGTGAGGATTTGCTAAAAGTCATTGAAAAAGAGCAGGATTTCCAATTTACAAATGTACAGCATAAAATGTGAAATAATACTGTTTATATATTAAACCTATTTAACTTGCAACAATTATTGTAGCAATTTATAACTTGCATTTTAATACAAATTCTTGGCTCAAGGTGCATTACACATACATGAGCATATAATTATTAAGCATACCTAAAATTAATTGACAAATCAAATGCAAAGGGTGTATCTAAATAAAATACATGAACATGTATTTTGCATTAAATCATTGTTTATGTTTGTAAAGTATTCTAAATGCCCATAAAAAAATTAAATAAATTTCTCAATCAGTAATTGAAATATTAAAAACACCACTCATTCTCAAAAAGCACCTATAAATCTAATGTATACAACCCTCCTGGATTTACAGACACAAGTTTTTGGGATTTAGCATTTTGAAAACAAATGCCTGGTAATATCACAGTTAAGCTGAAGCTGCCGATTCCACGGAGAGGCGAGCTGCATCATTAAAACCGTCAGCTACGGTGATCTTCATCCCGCTTTCTGCCAAAATTTTCTTTGCTTCCTCTACATTGTTACCTGAAAACACCAGTTGAAAAGTTGTCTTAAAACTTAAAACTTTAATTTGTGGAGGAACAAGTAGACCCTCCACACTATTTTGGAGTCCATTTACATATTTCCAACAAGCTATGTTTATTATGAAAACATGATACAAGCACTCTGACAAGTATGGCTACTCCAGACAAATTATCCTTAAGAGTTTTTGCCATGTAGGCAACATAACAGAAAGAGACCAAATACATGTATTTTGTCATATTAATGTGAATTTTAAACAAAAGATTTGGAATGTGCCTGACAACAGTCCTGAAGTCTTGTATTTTAAATCCTCAAAATAACTCTACAATGGTAAAAAAAAAAAATACAAAATATATATATAATGCAGTTTATATGACTGCAATTTGCAATTTCATTCTTTACATGAAGTTTTATTCACCATTTTGTATTTTTTACAACACTGCAATTGCATCTGAGCTATAGAACAGTCTCGTTTTTCAGTTCAAGTCCAGTAATGAACAGATCCACATTGAAATCTTCAATAACACATGTACGTAGTACTTACCTTCCAGTCTGACGACCAGGGGGAGCTCTAGATGTAATTTTTTACTGGCTTTAATTATCCCTGTGGCCACTGTAGCACAGTTTACAATACCTCCAAATATATTCACTAAAATTGTCTTCACCTGAAACAAAATTTAAATTATACCTTTAGTTGAAAAATTAGCAAAAATCTGAACCACAGAAAATTTCTTTTTCAGCATATATTATGTGTACATATTGAAAGCATACATGTGAATCCCCCATGAGGAGAAAGAAGGCATCGTGGACTTGCTGTTCTGACACACCCCCTCCGACATCTAAGAAGTTGGCTGGTTCTCCTCCATGAAGTTTGATGATGTCCATTGTTGCCATGGCGAGACCAGCACCATTCACTATAAATAATAAATATGTTTCTTAGTGACTACTTAAAAAAGAGGTATGGGCCACAAACGACACGACTGTCATGATTTACTAATGCTCTCTGTAAGAAATGATTTTTATGAAAGGAAAAGGTAAAGTAAGGGTCAAATTTTACCCATCGCATGACCTTAACCTAGGTTAAAATTGTGATGTTTCAATTTGGCACTTAGCTCAAAACTAGTATATACACAAAAAGGTGATGAATTAAAAAACACATTCCAAATTCTATTCTTACTGATTTTTCAAAATGGAGCACAATTATGCTTGATTCTTTGATTTTTTCACACTATTAGTACAAATAATAATTCATAGATGTTTAAAGAGAGTGGACACGACAAACCAAGACATCCTATGCTACCCTCCAGGGCTATGTAATTCAGTTTAAGTCGACTAGCTTCAATTTCCCGGGGATCTGTTTCTGCCATATCATCCATGGCAAATACTTCCTTCTGTCTAAAAGCAGCATTGTCATCAAAGTTGATCTTCGCATCAAAACAAACAACTGAAAGAAAGACCATACTACTGAGAACAAAAAAGTAACTGTTTACATGAAAGTTACATGGACTCGCAATCTAAACTTTAAGCTCAGTGGGAACATATTTTAATTAACAAAGGCAAAATAAAGTTTAATCTGATCAACATTAAATTCTTACTACTGTGGAATCATCATTGTTTGTTGGAAACCAATGTTCCTTGTCACCCTTACTCTCGAATTTACACCCCAGTAACTTTGTCATCTCATCAGGTGATTGAATCTTCCATATTTTCTTGTAACCCACAAAATTATGTCCTTATGATCAAGCAAAATTTAGGTTAACCACAAACATTGACCCCAACAAATTCAAGTGATTCCACAGTAGCAAGAAACCCTATATCAATGATTCCATTAAAGCAACAGATATTAAAATGTCAAACATCGTTTTCTCAAACTCAAAGGGACCAAGAAAAACTGAGAGATATACGAGGATTCAAGATATCCAGGGTAAAATACTAAGAGAATAAGGAGTTAGGACTTCCAAATCACTTCAACATATTCATGGTATTCAAGATATAAGTGTTCGAGATACCGCAGTTCAACTGTACTTCACATTCATAGCCTGTCAGACTGAATATAAAACTGCCTCAAATTGGCAATGTTTTCAAATGAAAGATAATTAGTATGCTGACTTCCCTACACAGATATTTCTCTGTTTTATTATTTTGTATCCCCTACCTTAGTATGCTGACTTCCCTACACAGACATTTCTCTTGTTTTATTATTTTGTATCCCCTACCTAAGTATGCTGACTTCCCTACACAGACATTTCTCTGTTTTATTATTTTGTATCCCCTACCTAAGTATGCTGCCTTCCCTACACAGACATTTCTCTTGTTTCATTATTTTGTATCCCCTACCTAAGTATGCTGACTTCCCTACACAGACATTTCTCTTGTTTCATTATTTTGTATCCCCTACCTTAGTATGCTGACTTCCCTAAACAGAATTTCTCTGTTTTATTATTTTGTATCCCCTACCTCAGTATGCTGACTTCCCTACACAGACATTTCTCTGTTTTATTATTTTGTATCCCCTACCTCTACCATCAGGTGATAAGATAACTAGTATGCTGACTTCCCTAAACAGACATTTCTCTGTTTTACTATTTTGTATCCCCTACCTTAGTATGCAGGCTTCCCTACACAGACATTTCTCTGTTTTATTATTTTGTATCCCCTACCTCTACCATCAGGTGATAAGATAATTAGTATGCTGACTTCCCTAAACAGATATTTCTGTTTTATTATTTTGTATCCCCTACCTTAGTATGCTGACTTCCCTAAACAGACATTTCTCTGTTTTGTTATTTTGTATCCCCTACCTCTACCATCAGGTGTTTCTCCAAATGGATTGATTTCCACCTGTGTGGCATCTACTTTAACAAACAATTCATACAATCTACGAATCTGGTCCGCTGCCTGAAAAAATTAAAGGAAAAAATTATGATGATCATACTTGTTCATGTAACTTTAGGTATATTCTACATATATTTCAATTGATTTCACACAGGAATCTACTGCAGAATAATCATTTTAATTCTTGTGGGTCAAATGTTCATGAGCAATTTAACTTTTACTGGTTTGTGGGGACATTATATTGTGGGTAACTCATAGGCACAAAAAAGATTCAATTAACCAATACACACTGACAAAGAAATCAAATGGTTTGCCTGGATGTAAATTCGTTGGCAATGTTGACCCATAAAATTCATGAACATTGGTCCCCTACGAACAAGCATTATGATGAATCCACAGTATTTCATAAAAAATATTCTCAGACTTGACAAACTCTACACCCAAAGTGTACATACCAAGGTAGGTCTTAATAAATATAAATGTCATCCAGTCAAATTAATTTATATTGTTATAAAAGATTCTCTGATATACTGAAATGACTATTACTGTTTGTAGATTGCTGCCCTGGAATCCGAGTTTCTCTGCCACTGACAAACACTGCCTCTCTGTTACACTGGTCATTATATCTACTGGCTCCTGCAAAAAAAAAAAAAAAAATTAAATCTTTTTTCCCAGAACATTAGCACAGAAAATATATTAAAAAATAACTAAAATGATCTGTGGTTTACTTCACTTAAAGCCATAGAAATCATTGTGACATTTAGTCAAGTAACTATTGTATGAATTCCAAACTCTACTTTAAATCACCTTATACATAATTATATATATGTCACGTTAAATTGATCCGAGTCATTTCCACTTCATATACTATATACCCCTATAAAGTGATGAGAACTTCACATAAGTGATGAGAACTTCACATTTAACTCATGAAATAACATGTACAGATGATTTTGTGAAAATAAAATGTGATTTACAGTGTTTTAAATTTAAACAATCCTGCCCCCCAACCTTGATAATAGAACCAGGGTCTGTAGCAGCAGTTTCTTCTATATCCATTCCTCCATGCTTACTGCCAATGATCACCGGTCCCGCAAATGATCTATCTAACACAATGGCAAAGTATGTCTCCCTGGCAAGGTCCAATGCCTCGGCTACCATCACCTAGTACAAAAACAAACAACAATGAAAGTTTACTTCTATATATATGATAAGAACCTTACTAAGTGAAGTTCGAAATATTAATGTTTCACAGAACAACAAAAGGCCCATGGGCCCATCCGCCCGCCCCACCCTACCCCAGGGGCCATGATTTGAACAAATTGAATCTGCATTACCTTGGGATGCTTGTATATCAATATCAGTATAATCACTAGTCATGGTCCTGCTGCTCTTGAGGAAATACATGTACATGTACAACATTTTTTTCTATAAATTACCATGTAAAACTTTGATATCATTTTGTTGCCCCATCCTATTCCAGGGTAAAAAAGTATGTCAATCTCTAAGGTCAAGGTTATATTGTAAAAAAAAAATTTGATACCCAAAAGAAAGGTCTTGTCACAATGAATAAATAAATATTTGAAATATGAAAGCCATAGCACCAATCATTCAAAAGTTATGGTCAAGGTTAAAGTTTGATTAAAATTCTTTTAAGTAGGTCAGAATTCTAGTTCAAGATCATCAGGTCAAAAATGTTGGTACCCAAAGAAAAGTCTTGTCACAGTGAAGATATATTTAAATTATGAAAGTCCTAGCACCAACCATGTTCAAGAGTTATGTACAAGGTTAATTCTTTTGTGGACAAACAGACAGCTAGACTGACAGACAGAACAGACTAAAAACTACATGCCCCCTGAATCATTGATTATGGGGGCATAAAAATCATATTAAAAAAAAAACTGCCTGAACATTTACTTTAAAAATTTTTGGCCTGAGAAACTAAAGATATATTTTGGGCATAAAATTTATCTTTTTATTCCTAGTGGTTCTTGAGCAGATGATTTTTTATGACACCAACACTATTTTTGCCTTTCCTTGATTATCTCCCCTTTCTTCATTTGAACAGACTTCAATCCCCTTTACTTAATTACACTGTGTGCCAATTTTGGTTGAAATTGGCCCAGTGGTTCTGGAGAAGAAGATGAAATTGTGAAAGGATTACAACAACAACAACAGATAATGGACAAATTTCAATCAGAAAGGCTTACTTGAGCCTTTGGTTAAGGTGAGTTAAATATATATTCCACACACAAACCTTTGACACTTTGACTCCATCTCCAGTTGTTTGTTTTGTCTTAAGTTTGTGTCCCAGCATACTTGTGACTAGACCTTCCACTTCACCTGGGCTACAAAATACGTTGCAGATAAAAACTTTGTATGGCTTTTCAAGATGAAATATTTAGAAGGATATTTATTTTTTCCTAGTACAAAACTAAGATAACAGTCTATAAAAATTGGATATCACATGTCTTGCACATTTCAATGCAAACTGGGTAAATTCTTAGCTGTAATTCAGAATCAGTACTTGCAAAAAGATTTATCCTTTGATAAATCAGGAATATTAAGTTACTAAACCATTCAGTGATATTGTACCAGGATCTACAAAGAGGTCATGTGATGTCTTACTTTTTGGTAAGATGGACTCCTCCTTTGAAGCCATTAGAAAACACACCTTTCCCTCTGCCTCCAGCCAAAATCTGAGCTTTAATCACATATTCATCAACCTCTAAAAAATTAAAATGTATTCAATAATAAAAAATCTCAATGCATGAATCTATATTTTTGTCCCAGGGCGACTTGGAAAGAAAACAAAAGGCCCAAGGGCCTTAACGGTCACCTGAGTATAATACAACAATTTAGAGGATCCATAAAGTATAAAATAAACTGATAGATGAAACTTTGTTGTCCAAAAACAAGAGAAATAGGATGATCAGGATCAATGAAATAATTAGTCTAGTATTCAGTAACAACTTATAAACTATATTCTAGTATATCTCCCATTTAGCACTGTCACAGTGCAGACAATTAACATACTATTAGTGCCACTTTTAATCCCATATTGAAACCTTCCACATTGGCCTCTCTTGGTCTTTGAAGAACAGGACCAGGAGTAAAGAAGAAGATTTTTAAAGATTGCATTAATTTTGGTGGTATTAGCCCCACCCCTCAGGCCCCAGGGGGGCAGGGACTATAAAATTCACAATTCTTGTTCCCCTTCACCCATAGATGTTATATGCCAAAATTGGTTGAAATTGGTTAAGCGGTTTTGGAGAAGACGTTGAAAATGTTCAAAAGTTAACGCACGACGGACGACGCACGACGCACGTCGCATGACGACGGACGAAAACAGATAGCAATAGGTCACCTGAGTTTACTCAGGTGACCTAAAAAGGGACCATTAGACAGTACATTAATTTAAGGTAGTGTGACTCACGATACACTCTGCTGCAAAATAATTGTTTGTTGATTTTTTTTTGGAATTGAAATAGTGTATTGTCACTTTGCATGGCATTTTAGTTTTCTGTTCATAACCTTGAACTTGCACAACCTTACCCGCAGGCCATAAGCAATCTTTGATTTATGTACAAGCATCCATGCTACTCTCTAGCAAAGTTATTGACCAGATTTTACAAAATTTAACATAGCTTTCTGCAAGTGACCTTGAATTTACCTAAACTCCCTTGAGTCAAGAACACAGAACAACTTTTACAAACGACCTTGTGTTTAAAGTCATGACATACCATCTAACTATAAGGGCATAAGTAGAGTTTTTGTGAAGTATGAACCTCCAAAGTTTCTCCAAACTAAATAACTGAACTAGATTCACACACTTTTTCTGTCAGTGACCTAGAACAGTAGAACTTTAAATGACCTTCTTGAATGTTTTGTCACAAAAAGCCATAAACAATCTCTTTTTCAGTATGTGCTTCCAATCATGTGCCATTGTTTTTCTATTATGAAATTATGGGGCCAAGCTAAAAATATCTTTATTTTGCAGTTGCCGACCTAAAATTTTTTAGAGTGGGTATAGGTAGGTAGGTTTTTTTTTTTTAAAGATTGCAGTTTTTAGACTTTTGTTAGATAACAAAAATAGGATTACTAAACATAAAGATGCTCACTTGTTATAATCCACTGATTGATAAAAACAAAAATCAAAAATGAAAATGAAACAGTTTCAATATCCTGAAACAGGGACCTATATACTAACTTAGTATATAGGTCCCTGTCTTGAAAGCTTGAACTTTAATAACAACACAAAATAGCTGAATAAAAGTTTGGGTCGGGTGCATTTTCAGTGGGTCGGTAGGCAACTGCAAACAAACAAATTTTTATTTTAGTACTGGCCTAAACAAAATAGCAAATAACAGGCAGACAGACAAAGTAATTCCTACAAACCCCTTAAAATTCATTTGCAGGGTTTTAAATGACATCATTGCAGAACAATTTGGTTTTAGACAACTATTGACCTAGTTTTTTGGCTGCTGTTTTGGCCTCCTCTGCTGAACTGCAAACAACAAACTTCTGAACATTGATTCCATTATCCAACATCAGTTTCTTACTCTGGTACTCCTGTAGACTCAGGCATCGTATGGAAACACAGAAAACATTCTTCTGTTGTATAAAAAAAAAGTTATTAAAACACACTCAGTGGGTAAGTTTAATACCCTCTTCTCTTGGTTTTAGTAAAATATAGAGAGTTCTATTTAAACATTGATTATCATTATTTTTTTAACTTAATTATACGCGTTAGCTCACTTTGAAAATATATAATAAATATAGGCATACCTGTGTGATTTATGGCATCAAGAATTCATAAAGTAATCAATTTACACGAATAATATTGCTGAAAAATTATGTTTTTAAATTATAATCTCATATAGTTTATTCCTGATTATTAAAAAAAAGCCAAATGAGGGAAATTAGTATCTCTTGGAGTAGGTTATTTTTGTTTTACATCTCTGGTAATCTTTATTTATAACAAGGTCAAGTGTTATCAGCTGATAAGTGGTTTGCCTCAGCACAACATTGAAAACGTTATATCACCGTATTTCGTATCACATTACTATAGTTCAGTGTCATCTTATCTTTGCTTATTAAGTTTATTTTGGAAACTTACTTTCTCTTTTTTAAAATTCTGCAGAATGGAGCTGAGATTAGACAATCTTCTATACGTCCGAAGCATGTTCATGGGCGCAGACATATTATTTCTGTGATGTGTGATACGTCATTGGTTTGGGTGGTATAGTACTTTTTCGGATAATCATAAAACTGCTAGAACTGAAGATTTGGATTACTCAAGCCATCGAATTTTTGATTCTAGATAAAAATCAATTTTGTTTCAAAATTAAAGTATCAGATGTTTCTCTGTTCCATCAGAAGTAAAGTTTTGAAAACACGCAAAATGTAATCTTAAAAATAAGAATCCAAATTATACCGAAAGAGATTTTTTTCTTCCTCTAGGAAATCCATTTTCAACCTTGACCCTGTACAAGTTAAATTAGGAAAACGGACACTCCAAACTCAAATTGAATGTAGGCTATATTTAAAATGGAAGGACTTATACCAGTGATAAACAAACTTCAAGATGTATTTAATACTGTCGGCTCAGAAGTCATAAACCTTCCACAAATTGTTGTGATAGGTAATCAGGTAAGTAGGGCATTATAGCCCTAGGGTGTTCTAAATATGTATGGTGATATACCGGTTTCAATGTCAAGAAAATAAAATTGAACAGTGCATTACATAATCAATAATCGAAACTGAAACTTAATAAATTGAAACCTAGCCAATTTATTTTTAAGAAAGAAGAAATGTGATTCTGCGTAATTTTATAAATAAATGAAGTTTAGTATATATCATTGACATTGCTCTATTATATTTTTCATTCATTTATTTGCAATAATTAGTATCCCTTATTCTGGAATTGAAAAATGTACCCTGTAACTATTAACTAATCTAGTGATGTGTATGAGATAACAATAAACTGGTAATTGTCCAAGTCTACTGAACACAAATAAATTAAAGTTATATTTTTGTTATGCTATGAAATTCTGAATGTCAATGTACAAAGACTATCAGAACTTCGTAGTATAACCACAGGGCTGTCCCTTTGAATTGAAATAAAAGGGGACATTTTAAAAGTATTTGGGGATCTGGGGTTCCTCCCCTGATGGGGAGTTTAGGAGGAATACCAAAATAACCGGAAAATTACATCATTATAGGTGGGGAAATTCCCAGGCCCCTGGGTCTTAGGGACAACCCTGTAACAAACATCTGACTTGAATCAGATTGGTGAAAGCAAGGATTGCATAAAAGCCATATTGGACATTTGATACATGCATCTATAACAAATATCTACCTTTACAGATTCAGAGACCCAATTATTAGTGTCTATGATAAACAGAATTGAAATTTTGATTAATGAGGTCTGGTGTATTCTTGAAGATTAATGAGGTCTGGACTGTATTCTTGCAGATTATGTAGACTTCCTGTATATTTTGTCTAACTTTCTGTATATTTTGTAGAGCTCTGGTAAAAGTTCTGTGATTGAGAGTTTGGTAGGGCGAGATTTTCTCCCCAGAGGTACAGGTATTGTTACCCGCCGACCTTTAATCCTTCAGCTGATACATGTTAGCAAAAGTGATCGAGAGGCTAGAGCACAAGATGGAGGTAAGATTCTATGAATAATCGAATACCAACTTCAGAAATGAGTTAATAAATTAAAAATAGGTACTATTTTAAAACTTGATTTTAGCAGAATAATTATGGGCTGAAAATCATTTAGATAAATAACATATTATCAAGTAGTAACTAGTTATTTTTTACTGGTTCTTTTTAAGAAATTAAAATCTAGGTCCAAGTAGATCATTGATCATGTTGGTCTTTTAATGTGTTTAAAATAAGTACTTAGTGATTTGTATTCAACCAGTGTATGGAACAAAAATCTCTAATTTGACACAACATTGTCACAATGTGTTGAAATATGCTTCATACATATGACAGTGATTTTAACTGCTATCCAAATGAAGACTCAAGAATGTGTCGATTAATTTATTAATGATTTAATCCATATTACATGATGTGCTGATTTTCTGAAAAAATCAATACAATTTTACAAACAGTACACGGATTTACAACTGTAATTACATTGCTATAAAATTACGTAAATATTGAAATATTAAAAATGATACAGCATGTAACAGATGCTCAGCAAGCTTGCATACAAAGCATAAATTAATCATGTTAACGTTCAATTAACAATAGTACAATAATTTGGTCTGTATATCATGTATATCAAGATAGCATTTAACATAAACAAAATTAATCTCATAATGTGCCAATTATCATAGTTACAATGAAGTTTATTTTGAACATTACAACTAAGAATAAACAAATTGTTACAGTGATATCCTTACTAAGTGTATTTCATTGCAATCTTGCTGAAGTTATTCACATTGTTTCTTTTCAGTTTTTTTCAATCAATCATATTAATGAAGCATATCAACACAGAGAACGTTACAAAGGCATACACAAAGTTATCATCATAATGATAATTATTCATTAATAGCTACTCATTATTACATATTTTCTTTCTGCTGCCAATTTTTAGATCCAATTAAAGCAGAAGAATGGGGAAAATTCTTGCATACGAAGAACAAAATTTACACAGATTTTCAGGAGATCCGACACGAAATTGAAAATGAAACAGACAGAATGTCAGGATCCAATAAGGTGATTATAAGAGATAAAATTGATGGATAAAGTTTAATGAAATACAAATCAGTCTTGTAACCTTTTAGAAATGATTTACGTGGCAAAACCATGCACAGTTTTGCAACACATGTATATCGAACAATGATAAAGCATTGTCACACATTGATTATATATATTTATTTCAATTGTTCAAGAAAGTGAAGAAGTCAAGAAAAGATAAGTCAAGAAAATTTAACATTTCATTTATTTTTTTTAATTAAGGGAATTTGCCCAGAGCCAATCAGTTTAAAAATTTACTCATCTAAAGTGGTAAGCCTGACGTTAGTTGACTTGCCTGGGATGACAAAAGTCCCTGTGGGGGACCAGCCAGAAGATATAGAGCTTCAGATCCGGGACCTGTGCATAGATTACATCCAGAATCCAAACTCCATCATCCTAGCAGTGTGTGCTGCAAACACAGACATGGCCACTTCAGAATCCCTCAAACTTGCCAAAGAAGTGGATCCAGATGGTGAAAAAAATATTTCTGTTCATTCAGATCGAGATTGTTTTTCAATTACTAGCATTATATAGTGAATACATGTATCTATATGTACATGTATGTATATATTATTACTCCATTATTTCCAAGTTGAGGCTTGTGTAATAAAAATGTGACTGAAAAACTATTTTATGAAGTGATTTTTGTGTCATGTTTTAATGATGTACATTTTTTAGGTCGCCGTACGTTGGCAGTAGTAACAAAGCTGGACCTGATGGACCACGGAACAGATGCAATGGAGGTCCTGTGTGGGCGTGTTATACCTGTAAAACTAGGAATCATAGGTGTAGTGAACAGAAGTCAAGCAGACATCAACAAAAACAAGGTAATAACGAGGAATGGGTCTGTGAATCTAGTATTCAGGAGGTACCAACCAGTTATCAACTATAAAAAGCTGATATCTGTTTTTTCATATTTTTCAGAAAACTATGACAATAAAGTTTATGTACAATGTTTTTTGAAAACAATTTTTAATGTGTAAGACTTTTTATGCCTATTAAAATCATTTTTCTGAAAATTCACTCGATTGACAGGAAACAGATCATCTTCAGGGAAAAATGAAATTTGCTGTGGTGACAGTAGAAGGAGGAAGAAAAAGTTAGCCCCCCCAAATATGTACAGGGATGATGAAGTATCAGGAAATGAATCTCATTGATCTCTATTTTCAGGAAATGTCAGAGACTTTGAAAGATGAGGCATCTTTTCTACAGAGAAAGTATCCCACCATAGCTAGTCGACATGGCTCACAGTATCTTGCCAGGACTCTCAACAGGGTAAGATCTTATCTCCACATAAAATAATTTGCAGTTTATATGATTAATTGGCACACTAAAAAGTCCTAGATCAGATTTTATATGCCTGTCTTAAGATGGAACATTATATGGTATGACGTTTGTGTCTGTCCATAGATGTTATCTATGCCTTTGGGGAATTGGGCAAAGGAATCTGGCCTCTTAATTGCAATTGAAAGCATCTGTCAAATTAAAATAATTCTTGTTGCTTAGCCTTTATTTTCAAAATTAATTTGGTATTAAGTTATTAAGATTAATTTTATATTGTATAGTACTGAGAAATTTTCTAATTTTCATGTGGATATAATTTTTGTTGATTTTGTGATATGAAGATACCGGTACACATGAATTCATATCCTCCATGAAATGTTAAAACTTCATTATGCAGTATAATGTTTCTCCTTTATGATGTATTATTTGTTCTAATAAATAAGTACACCATAGGAGATGCACATCAAACATTATAAAGGGGAAAAAAACATTGAAATCTGTACCAAGTTTGACATGATTTTCTTCTATGCACTCTCATCTGTTTAATCTGAAAATTAAAAAAAATATCTGACAGGCGTATTATTTGCCATGGCGGTACACTTTATACATTATTTTAGCCCAGAGAAAAATGAAAATGTTCTAAAATAAAATAATAACTTTCAAAAAGAAAATTTCCAATTTCTGTGTTTCAGTTGCATGTTGTTTTATGAATAAGAATGCTGACATCTAATTGATCTTTAATGGATTTATATGGAAATGTCTCATGGTTTGATTGTTTCAGCTGCTGATGCATCACATTAGGGACTGTCTTCCAGAGCTTAAGACCCGGGTCAATGTGTCTATTGCTCAGTTTCAGTCTCTGCTGAATTCCTTTGGAGAACCAGTGGAAGACAAGGTAGTTATCAGATGTTGTTTATTATATCATTAAGGCACTGGTCTGCAGGTGCCCATAGTGACCAGTCTGTCCATCTTTCTGTCTATCGATCCAATTTCATTTCTCTGGAGCAATTTCCTCTCTCCTTGGCCCTTGGCCAAGTGGGACTCAAACTTCTCCCATAGATTGCCTATGGGTAGAGGGTGTACAGTGACCTTGAACCAATTTTCTAGATCAAATTCAAGGTCAAAAAACCTCTCTGTGTAAAATTCGTGTATGAAGCATTTTTTCTGTCCCCTTTGTCCAGTTTGGCTCATACTTCACGGGTAGAGTGCTTGTGGGTAAAAGGTATGCAGTGACCTTAAATCAATTATCTAGATGAAAGGTTTAGGTCAGAAAACTTCTCTGTAAATCCTTGTCTAGAGCATATTTTCTCTCCCCTTAGCCATACCTGGCTAAAATTTTACACCCATAAGAGTTCCTATAGGTGTGCAGTGTCCTTGAGCATGGATGTTTCGAGGTTAGTGGTCAAGATTAAGCAAACCTCTGTAAAATTCTTTTCTTGGGCATTTCTCCCATTGGCCCCATTTAATGTCCTTAGCTAAAAGCGGTGCCCTTTGAGATGGTCACCATCTCAACGATACATGTATGTAGTTTACTGTAATAGTACACCTGCTGTAAAAGCAAAGAATTACATCTAAAATTGAGTTTATAAGCATGATGGCTTGATAGAGGAAAAATACTCTTTCTTTTAATGATACATACATGAAAGCTATTTAAAGGTAGAAAATGTGAAAATATAATAAAATAATAATAAAAAAATAAAATATAATAAAAATAAACAGAACTGTTTGAACAATCTTGGTCTTAAATGAAGTAAAACTACATATTTCAGAGTCAGCTGTTGTTACAAATTATAACCAGATTTGCAACAGCGTACTGCAGCACCATAGAGGGAAACTCCAAAAATATTGAGACTTCTGAACTGTAAGTAAAAATGAAACAAAATTAGATTTTTTTTGTTTCTTTCAGATTTATGTCATAAATATTATAAATTTTATAGAGACTTTGACAAGGATCTAGAAGGTTCCTGTACAGATATTTGGCTCTAAGGATTTGAATTCTATATATATATTTTTTTAAATATCCACATTTTGACTTTGAACATGAATGAAAAACTTGCAGAAATAAGGAAAGGATGCATTTTTGTTTGTTTGACACATTTCTATGTGAATTGTTTTAGATGTGGAGGAGCCAGGATTTGTTATATTTTTCATGAGACATTTGGTCGGACTCTGGAGTCCGTTAATCCACTAGGAGGGTTAACTGCCCTCGACATTCTCACAGCAATCAGGAATGCTACGGTACGTATACACTATAAAAAAAATAAGCTTCAGGAGCAGTGAATTTGAATCAAATTTTCACAGCTTCATTTCTGATTTTGAAATAGGAAAAAAAAATTACTTTGTTACATATATATACATGTAACTTTACGGATTAAAATCGTCAATATAAAAAAAAAATAGAGTAGTATTTCTTTGACTGCTTATATCTGACTAGTTTATAGGAGTCATAAATAGTGTTAAGTTGTTTGTACTTTCATTTTCTTTTCTTAGGCAAAATATTTTCATATGTGTGAAAAGCATTTGAAATTATAGTCAACAAATATAATGAATATAATCTAAGAAATTTGAAAATTTTGAAAACTTCAAACGACATGACATTTTCATATATTTCTGTAACTCTTTTGACCTGTGATTATTTTTAGGGCCCCAGACCCGCCCTATTTGTACCAGAGGTGTCATTTGAGCTTCTTGTCAAGCGTCAGATCCGTCGTCTAGAGGAGCCAAGTTTACGGTGTATAGAACTAGTCCACGAGGAAATGCAGAGAATTATACAGCACTGTGGAACACAGGTGATTGTGAACAGGGTCAGCTGTATAGTCTTAGGATATACAGTACTAGATGAATCTTTATATGTTATTACTGGTACTCAGGTCTAAATTTACAGCAAGATAAGACTCATCATAATGCTGTTGAAATACTTATAGATCTATACTTTTACCTTTTATTAACATTTTTGTTGTTTATACAGCAAGAGATGTTGAGATTTCCTAAGCTTCATGAAAAGATTGTAGATGTTGTCACCAACTTATTACGGAGGCGATTACAGCCCACAAACAATATGGTGAGTCAGATGTTATTATCAGATGACAACATTGGAACAGTTTTATCTCTTTATTCCCTAAATCACTGTTTTCCTTTATTTTGATATTCTTGTTTTCACAATTTCAGAGAGAGAGAGGGAGAGAGAGAGAGTACAAAACTGCAGAAATGATAAAAAATTAGATAAAATTCTCATAGATTTATAGTATCAAGGAGGTGCATGCTTTAAGTATTGAATACATCTGTACAATCATGTGTTTATTTCTTTCCAGGTACAAAATTTAGTTGCAATAGAGTTAGCATATATAAACACCAAGCATCCAGATTTTCATGAGGCCAACTTATTCCAAAGATCACAAGAACTGGAAATTAGTAAAAACCTAAATGAATTCCACATTAATAATGAATCTACAAAAGACCATAAGGTATGAAGTCTAGCTACAGTATTGGCAAATGTTTAATAATTATATAATTTAATCAAATAAAATATCTTGAAATTCCCAATTGTCTTCTCTTTATTATGTTAATAAATGTATAAGCTTTATAGATAGAATACCATGAGATCATAGTAAAAAAAAGGATAAAATTAAAGGACAGGTAAAGGGGATTTTATGGTTTGTTTACAAGGTTGCTTTCTTTGACAGAGAGGAAATCCTGGTAAAATTTCCAACTACCTGCGGGGTCAGGGTGATCTACATAATGATTTATCACAGACCAGTAGCCCCGCCAGCAGTCGACCTGATTCACCTATACACGCTGTAAAGGGAGTTAACCTCCTGTCAGATGTAGTAAGTTTGTTTTGGTACATCTGAACCTTGTAATGGTCAGATACACAAGAAACGCACAGTATGAACAAAATACATATGCACTGATAGGTTTTATTGCTAGTATTTTTACAGTAAATAAGACATGGTACACAATTTAAATAAGACTAGGTACACAAGTAGACTGTACCTAGATACATAAATGCATCAGTTCTTGATTTGGACACTATTGCCATGGTAACTAAAAAGAGAAATGTCTATTCTTTCTTTAAAAACCCTATTCCTATAGATTTGGTCTGATTAGATTTTTTACACAAGTAGACCATACTATAAAGATACATTTTTCTTTATTATACATTTAAGTACACACAAGTAGAGCTTTAGTCTTGTCAGAGACTTTTGATTATTTAGTAATACATGGAGTAATATTTCTTTGAGTGAAAATAATGACATATGAGTAAGTTCTTTATATGCCTAATAATTTTTTTGAAATACATGTACAGAAGTGAATAATGAATCCAAATCTTTTTCAGCCACAGCCTACATCTAGGAAACTCTCACCCAGGGAACAGAGGGACTGTGATGTCATTGGTAAAAATCTTATAACTGATTTTATATTATAGAGTATTAAGGTTTTAGATGGAAGGATAAAGAACAAGGTACGGTTTCAATACAAATCTTGCCCTGTGTTTTTCTTAAAAATGAAAATGATGTAAAATTATAAAACTCATGCTTTTTGAGTCCTTGAAATTCCATTCCATGCAGAAAGATCTTGCAAATCATTTTTTCCTCACATGACCTTCTAAATGCTAATCGTGACGCCATAAAGATGTGCATTTTCCCGTATTTTCTTAATAAGCCGCAGAAGACACCAATTTTCAATGAAATTTCTTTCAGATAATATTGTCCACAGGCATCGCCCACAAAGATTTTGAGATATGTGATTTTCCAACGAATTTTACACAACATGTCCGAAAATTATAGTGGGTGACGGCTGTGGACACTATTTTCTCAAGGAAAATAACCCTTGAAATGGGTCATTTTGAGGCTTTTTCTGTTTAAAACAAAGAAATGCATCAAATTAATGATGTCATATTTCCAGAATGGTACTCCTTCACGTAATATTCTTTCCTGATTTAGTCACAGTCATATACTCAACTAATTTTTAAGCCAGTTTCAAAACATTTTGAAGACATTAAATTTTTAGGGCATAATAAAGTCAAAACTGTACCTTCTTCTTTATCGTCATGTTTAAAAGTTGTTTTTTTTTCATATTTCCACCCAATATTAATTTTCAGAGGACTCTGGTTTATTAAATTGTGAAAAGGTTTAAAGTAAAGTTTCTGGTAAGATTATGGCTGTTTAATTTGCAACTTTGACCCAGTTTAAGAATTGATATCATAGCTTGTGAACAGATTGATTTTATCATTCTTTATACAAGTGTAGCAGATTAGCTGAGGTTAAAACCTAACGGCTAAATTTAACTTTAGATTAATCATATGCAGAAAAGATAATAGTGTTATTCTGAAAATGTATAAGGTGAACACATGTTGAGCTGTTGCAAAGATGGTATGAATGATGTTTTAATATATATGTATTGTAGAAGGAGTTTAAACAGAGAGATATTATTTAGAGTGGATTTAAATATCATGCTTAATCTAATGTAGTTTTCCAGCACTAGTTGACATGAAATGAAATGTATAAAAAACAATTTTGACATAATTTTGTATGTATACTTTGTTGCTCAAAGTTTTATTTTTTTAAAAGTTGGTTTTAAAACAAACAGGTGTTGATACAAATTTAGAAATATTTTTTTTTTTTTTTTGCATTAATGTTTTTAAATTCTAAAAGATTAATATATCATAGTTTGTATTCTTTACTTCAGAACGATTGATCCGATCCTATTTCCTGATTGTAAAGAAGAATGTCCAGGATACGATCCCAAAGGCTATTATGCACTTCCTGGTGAACTATGTAAAGGACAATCTACAGAGTGAGCTCGTTAGCTCATTGTACAAGAAAGAAGAGCTCGAGTTTCTTCTAGAGGAATCTGAACATATAGCACAGAGGCGAAAGGAAGCTAGTGAAATGTTACAGGTGGGACATTGGAATTTTTTTGGAAAAAGTTCATTTTTTATCGTCTCTGGGTCTTCTCTCCATTTTTTACAAATGTTTGTTAGTTTCTTTGAATTAAAATGCACACAAATAACGTTTCAAAATCATGTAACATTTTGTACCAAATGACTCATATAGCCAACTTTCAAGATCTTTTTTAGCAAATCAAAATATAGTATCGGGAAAATATTTCCCTTTCCTATTTCACAGGAACCCGATACATCAAAAGAATGCTAAAATTCCATGTGACAGATCAATGAAATTTTCACTTTTCAAGTGTGCCCAGATTCCTGCCGAATGCCAATCAAAAGCGCCCTCGTTCTTTAATAATATCGTAATATCTGAAGAATATTTTGCGATTGTATTTTTTGTTGATTTGTCTCAACCTCAGAGTTCGATAACCACAGAAAAAAACCTGTTATATGGTAATACATGTACAACAAAGATTGAAATTTCCTGTAAACTTTTCGTACAACCCTTATATTTATACATAAACAAGTTAAATTTTTTTCTGTAGCCAATATGAATTTCCTCTCTTTCTATACCAACAAAATTGTTTTTTTACAGATGAATAATTAATTTGCTAATTAATGAATTTTCAGGCACTTCAACGAGCCAGTCAGATTATTGGAGAGATACGAGAGATCCACCTGTGGTAATGATGACTGGATAGGGCAAACCAAAGATAGGATTTATAATCATTACCCTGCTACACAGGAACAACATTTATAAACATATTTATATCAACTTACATTGAAACAAAACAAGACTTTTCATATGCATCTTTATTAAATATATACCAATACATGTACATTCATCTTAGGACAGTTCATAAAACCTAGATTTTATTTTATGGGTTTATCTACATGTAAGTATTACCGTATTAAATTTTTAATCAATACTGTAAATCAAAACGTGTGTAAAGTGTGTGCTACAATTGGTTTTTTTTAACATCATATTTGAATTAGACTAGAAGATTACTCTGTACATGAAACTGAGGTGATTTTGTGTAAAAAAAAAAATTAGGTTTGCTCAATGAGATATTTGTATGTGACATGTATGTTAATCCTAACTATCATACTTCTAGAAAAGAAAATTGATTGCTATGTACATTTAATAGTAAATCACTATTACAGATGAACATTTATTATAGAAAGGTTTATTTAATTTTTAAAACCAACAACATCTAATCATATTTACAGTAGAATCAAAATGTTTTGGTGTATAATTAATATAATATTTCCCTTTTCATTTATTAGCAATTTGGTATTAGTCAGGAGAAAAGATGCATAATAATATATATGAATACATCTTGTGTTTATGTAATTTTCCAATCATGTTACCGTAGGTTTGGCTTTTTATTCCATAGTCATTCACACAAGATTAACACTAGTCATTAAAAAGAACATTATTTATTATTTTTGATAATTTTTAACCCTAATAAGGCAGGTTCAAAACCATAAACTTCAAGGGAAGAATATGTCAAAGACATTGGATTATATTTTGACTATTTATTAAAGGAATAAAATTGTAAAATGGGGAAAATCCTATCCTTGATTTATTGATGATTTTTTAACTGTGGGAAAAACCACAAGAATCGGCTTTTATCTACGTAAACTTTCACTTAAAATAATTGATTATTATTTGTACATGTAATTTTCTGTCATTTTTTTCAGTATTGTGCATTGATAACATATTTCACGACATGTATTAACCGATTGAAGTTGATTTGTCTTTCAGTTAGTTCATTTTCTAAAACTGTGTACATATAGACTGTAAAATTTCATTTCTCAATGTAATAGTGCTATTATAAACCTTATTTTCTCTCTCCTTATAATAGTGTTGTAAATAAACTTTGATTCACTGCATATAAACTAGATTGAAATTGTATGTATGTTTTAGAGTAAGGTGTTGAATTGTACTTTGTAACCTGTGCTGCGATTCACCTGTAGAACTGTGTAGTAGATGTCTGTCTTGTGTGTTAATTACAAAGGGGAGCAGTTCACCTGTAACCTGTGTTGCGATTCACAAGTAGAACTGTATAATAGATGTCTGTCTTGTGTGTTAATTACAAAGGTAGCAGCCCACCTGTAACCTGTGCTGCGATTCACCTGTAGACCTATACAATAGATGTCTGTGTGTAAATTACAAAGGGAGCAGTCTGTATTTTTCTGTATCATTGATGAGTGAGGTGTATAAATGTGAATTCTTTGACACTAAAACAGTAAGGGAAGCATAAATGTTTTTCTTACATGTATATTTATTTGGATTTAAATTTCTTTCAAATATTTTCGATTTTCCTTGTTTAACTTGAAATGCTTGTAGTTTGAATTCTTCTTTACACATCATAAAGTGCTGTTTGAGAACCTCTGGTTGGTCACTGTGCTAGGTGTGACCAGGCAATGGTTTTAGGAAATGTGAAATGAGAAATACGACAAATATAGAATATTGAATATAGAATATTTCCAACAGTTATGAACATGTATATTTTGGAAAAAGGAGTACATGTACCTTTGATTATAATATATAAAATTTATATCTTAGTTGGGAACAAAATTTGATGTATTTTCAAAGTGGTAAACGTGTAATACATTCACTGAATGTCACCATCTCTGTATGCATGAAAGAATTGTAACAATAAATGATGCAGGTTAAGTATGACAGTATGTTTTTCTTAATTGATTGTAGCCGGGTACAACAAATAATTGACCAAACAGTACATCAAGCCCTTTTATTTATCATTTTATTATAAACCTTGATGTACAAACTTTTTAATATAAGAACAATGAAATAATAGCACTTTGAATCATGCAAATGTTGTACGTTTACAGGTTTTCCAATACATAAAGGTAATTTATAATACTAGTATATGCTTTATACAAATATCTAAATTCCCTTTAAAATCATTATTAATAATCTTGTTGCAAAAGCAGGAAGTATTTTCATAGTTCAAAATCCACTTTTTACACCAGCCGAGATGTTGTGGGCAGCCAGAGCTAACACAGCCTTTGGCAGATGACAATTACCGGCATCACCTTTCAACTCTCAATCAAGGATGTTTTGGATGGAGTCTTAATTCATGCCCTGGACAAAAAATTCACTTTCAGATGATTTCTTCGGTGAATTTATTTTATGTCCAATTTAAATGTTCTCTGCATCATTTTGATGTAAAGCAGTGAATTGACTAACTAATTTCTACCTTCTATTTGAACTTAGTTCATATGTTTGCTATAGAAAAAGCAAGTCCTCTCCCATTCAGCTTCATTATGTAAAGATCCTGGTCCATCTGCATTCTTGACCATTTTTAATGTGTTCTCATTTATATGTAGTTATGTAATTCTTACCTACTAAAAATCTCAAATGTAAACAAAATAAATATACCCTTATCACCTGCATATGGAGTTTATGTCTTCCAATTGATTCGGTACGCAGAGCATGCTATACGTACGAACAATTTCTAAAACGGGGCAAGCTATTGACAAACAAGTTGATGAATCAAGGATATCAACAGTCTTTATGGTCGATAAAATGACCCTGTTAGCAAACACAATCTGTCATTAAGTCAAATGCTAACTGGTCGTTATCTATCGGAGATAACGACCAGTAATCAAGTTTAAAAGTCTATAGAAAAATACAAATCAGGTGCAGAACAATCCAAAAACATCAGAGGTGGGATCTGGTGTCATGGAAGAGTAAGCTACCCCTGCCGACTGGTCACACCCGCCGTGTGCTCCTTGTCATGATCGGGCAAACAGAAAAATCCGTATAAAATTCAAGGTGTGAAATAATGGCCTAACAATTAGTATGAAAAAGTCAGTCAGCATTCGACTTAATGACAGATTGTGTTTGCTGACAGGGTCATTTTATCGACCATAGAACTTGCGAAATGATGATTTTAAACGAGACTGTTGATATTCTTGTAGAGCATGCTCTTTCATATCGATCAACTGGGAGACACAAACCCCATTATCATAAAGATTCATTGTCAGGTTACCATTAACGTCTTTTTCTAGTAAAATGTCCAAATATGAAACAGATGCGTCAGACTCGGTGATATCTTTTATTTCACGTTCACTGGGCTATATCAAGTCGACATATGAATGGAAGTAATAACTATTGTTAATTGATAATACGTCGTCGATATATCTAAATGTCGAGTTGAAGGCCACAGCAATTGTTTTCTTCTCATAAACAATTTTTTGAACAAATTCTGCTTCAAATGAATACAAAAAAACAGGTCTGCTAATGGCGGGGCGCAATTGGTACCTATGGGTATTCCAACAGATTGTTGGAAGACGTGATCTCCAAAAACTACATAGATATTGTAAATCAAAAACCCAAGTATCTTTTTAATATAAACTTCAGAGTACTTGTATGTACAATCAGGATGTTTTTTTAAAAAATAATTTTGTAAATGACCAATATCAAGATAAGGAAATTTACAAGTTCCATTTTTATTGAAAAAAGCAGCTGTCTTTGATGTCAAAAAGTTTGGATTTTAATCTATAGTGGGGAATGGTTGTTTAAAGTATTGAAAAGTCGCATGTTTTGATGTTACTGATTTTGGTAAAATTTTGTGTTTTCAAATTTTCTAAAAGTTTTTAAGTATCCACATATGATTTACACCACTTCTCGAATATATTGTTGAACAGTACTCCCTAAGTTTCTCCTTCACTGCCGTTTATATTTTAGTGAGGAGTAAAGTAAAAGGCTTGGTAGAACATTTACTGGACCCGCTATGTATCTTTCTTTGCAATTTTTATGAAGTTAAGGAAGCCAGTATAGGTATGATAATTCAAATTCATATTTATTGTTGGGAATATAAAAAAAAAATTAATTTTCAAGAATTTCCTCTTTAGAAAGGGAGCTATGGGTAAAAGTTGGATTATCACTCGCAGAATTAAATCCCAATTCGTCTAAAATACGAATAGACTCAAAAGAGTGACGCCTGTTTTTATACTGGGCAACGCGTCTGCCAGGATCATTTCGTTATTCTGTGAACTACTCATTAACCCATATCTTGTGATTGGTCATTATGAAAATTACTTAATTAAAAATCACTCTGATTCTGCACACAGTACTCTGAAGTTGATATTAAAAGGATGGTGGAGTTCCTCATTGACAACATTCATGTAGTAATTGGAGACCAGATCTTCCAACAAACTGTTGGAAGTCAGACTGGCAAATAACTGTGCTCCTTTATTATTATTATTAACCAACATGTTTTTATATTTCTATGAAGTAGAATTTATTAAAAATGATAATTCAAATTCATATTTATTGTTGGGAATATAAAAAAAATTAATTTTCAAGAATTTCCTCTTTAGAAAGGGAGCTATGGGTATAAGTTGGATTATCACTCGCAGAATTAAATCCCAATTCGTCTAAAATACAATCAAAATAATGAGCATTACAAAGACAATGTTGTTACCTGCTTTGTCAGTTAGGACTAGTACAAATTGATCGTGTAAGCCCTAATTCTTTTTTTTTTCACTTCTGAATTATAGAACACAGAAAGATGGGTGGTTTTCATATTGCCACTCAATCGCTTAATGCGAGATTTTAACTTCCATCGGATTATTTTAATCCATTCTGATAAAGTGTCAAGGTCTTCTTTTCCATGTTTGGCCCATTCCCTGGCGTAATCTTCCACAGAATTCATAATATTTATGAAATTATGACGCCAGTTGAATGATCGGGGTTCCCTAAATTTTTATCCTTTTAAAATAAGTGATATAAGGTTCTCATTATTAACTATATTTACGTCACCATTAATGACGTGTTTAGCAGGACTATAGTTGTAGGGTGAAGAAGAACATGAACACGTTGGAGCTAGGATTACTTATATATGTTTCAGCTGTTCGATATCTAGGCACTGTGGATGGTTCTTTTGTAATTAAAATGTTTGGAAGCATAGTCGATGTCTATTTGCAAGTACAAAGTGTGGACCTCAACTTGAATTATGGTGGAATAGAAGACTGAACAATTTTGTAATTAAGAATATATCTTATATCTGTTTGTTGGCGAATTGATGTTTAAGGAACAAACGTGTTGTTTGAGCAGTATTTTCTTCCGTAAAACGTGGCTGTTTAAAAAGCCCAAGGCCATGATTTGCAATATCCATAATCACAGATCCTAGCCTGTATTCTGGTGTCGAAGAATCCAAATATGAAATTTCCTTGACTTTATCCAAATAGACTATTTAAAACTTTCAGAGAGACAGAGTAAAGTTTTGTGCGAATATGATCAAGATCTAACTGTCTACTTACATAAGGTAGTAGTGAATTAAAGGAGACATAATCATCTTGTATAATAGATTTATTTTAAGACCGATGTCGACTACGCCTTCGTCTCTGTGTATTGTTAGAAAATCCCATCATATTCACATTACTACACTTTTGACTTGAAAGACTCTCAACATTATCTACATTGTCATTGCTACTATATAGAAAGGCCATGCCTAGTTTTCTAATCCAGTATTCTCCCCTTTTCTAAGGAAAAACGTACTCAATGATGGGCTATTAGTATATCTTCAAGAATTTTAAGTTTCTTTAAAAAAAAAAAATAGAATGATCGGGTAAATTAAAGTGCTTGTATAGCAGCTGCTGGACCCCGTTGAAAATTTGAAATTCATGCCCCGATATTCTTTTATTAAGTGAGCTCTTGGTTTCACCAACATATATAAGCCCAGAAAGGATACATTCTATAACGCAGACAACATTACAAGATTTGCAGTCCAGATTTTCCCAAGTTTTGGTATGGAAGCTCTGTCCAGTAAGATTACTAGTAAAAGAAGAGCTTGTAATCTAAGCATCACAGGTTTTACAGTTTTTGACAGAACATTTGGAAATAGAACATGTGGGATCGGAAAAGGAATTTTCAAATATATCTCTTCTAGAAACTTTACAATCTTTCAAATTTTGTGTATGAACTGTTGGTTTTATACAAAAACTGGGAATTGTATATAGTTCAAATATGACATATTTTTAATATTCCTGAGGATTATCCGATTGAACACTTTGATTCTGTGTTCCTTTATAGACTCAAAAGAGTGACGCCTGTTTTTATACTGGGCAACGCGTCTGCCAGGATCATTTCGTTATTCTGTGAACTACTCATTAACCCATATCTTGTGATTGGTCATTATGAAAATTACTTAATTAAAAATCACTCTGATTCTGCACACAGTACTCTGAAGTTGATATTAAAAGGATGGTGGAGTTCCTCATTGACAACATTCATGTAGTAATTGGAGACCAGATCTTCCAACAAACTGTTGGAAGTCAGACTGGCAAATAACTGTGCTCCTTTATTATTATTATTAACCAACATGTTTTTATATTTCTATGAAGTAGAATTTATTAAAAATTACTACATGAGAAGAGGAGAACACTTGCTGTTGCCTTCAACTCAACATTCAGATATATCGAGACGTTTTATCAATCAACAAATTAAAAGTATAACTACTAATATTTCGATGTCGACTCGGTATATCCCATATCTGTTTCATATTTGGGTGTTTTACTGCCTATCGACGATAAGGGACAACTGTTAAAGTAAATTGTACGAGAATTCGTATGACAAACAAGATGACTTCAAATTTTCCATTGTTAACTTTCCTTATTTATGTAGTTATATTCCACTTTCACCTGCATTTGGTG